GGGTCTGGAATTTAAAAAAAAAATTGTCTGGAAAACATGGAAAAGTCATGGAATTTTGAAATCAGTGTTCCGTGGCAACCCTGTCAAAGTCTTCAAAGATTCCATTAATTAACACATTTCTCAATTATTAAAAACTTTTTAAATTCAATTACTGTTTAAAATTTTGTCAATAATTTTTAACTATTCAAATTTACAACAATTTCAATTAATAAATTAATTTTTTTCAATAATATTTTAATCAATTTCTTTGAAAATTTAATTTATATAAAATTTGCCAAAATTCTGAATTCCAATAACACAGGCCTACAAATTTTAGACCCAGAAACCGGAATAGTCATTTCCGATGTAATTTATCACGCTACATCAAAAAATGATAAGCAAATTGTTTTATCACGTCAGCATTTCGAGATATTCTAAACTAAAAGTGTAAAAAATGCCGTTTTTCGCAATATTTGATACTATATAAAATCGACAAAATTTTTGTTTAATCATTCGTCCAAATTTTAAAAGAAAGTATTATATTTCCTCTTTCAAAATTTTCTTGGCTTGATCTGATCCAATTTTTTTTCTCTGAGATACAGCCATTTGCGTTTTACATTGCATGAACTAAAATCCCTTTAAAAAGGAAAAATAAATTGCGAAGTACTCATGGCACTGAAAATTGTTACTCAGGGGGTTTTAATATCGCTAATTACGAATGTGATATCAGATTCAAAAATCTGACATTCAATTTGTAATCAGCGACCCTAAAAACCCCCAAGTAATGAATGACAAGCGAATTCGGTAAATTTTTTAAAAAGTGTCCGCCATATAGGATCCGACATTTTGAAATTCAAAAATCTGACGTCAGATTCGTAATTAGCGACCTCAAAAATCCCCGAGAAATAAGTTTCAGTGATATGAGTACTTTGCAATTTATTTTTCTTTTTGAAAGGGATTTTAGTTCATGTAATGTAAAACTTAAATGGTTGTATCTCAGAGAAAAGAAATTGGATCAGATCTAACCTAGAAAATTTTGAAAGGAGAAATATAATACTTTCTTTTGAAATTTGGACCAATGATTAAAAAAATTTTTTTGTCGATTTTATAGAGTGTCAAATATTACCAAAAACTTCATTTTTCACGCTTTTAGGTTAGAATATCTCAAAATGCTGACGTGATAGAGTAACTTCCTTGTCATTTTTGGATTCAGCGTGACAAATTACATCGAAAATGACTATTCCGGTTTCTGGGTCTGACAAAATCCAAAATTTTGTAGGCCTGTGTAATTTGTACAATGTCTTGGCATTTTTTCTTCTTTTAAAGTAACTTTAAATTATTATTTTTCAAAATTTGTCTTACTGAATTAAAATCTTGAAAATTTATCACAGTTTTATTGTTAAAGTTTTAAAAAACAGTTCATGGAAATGTTCCTCTGAAACATTCTTATTATAGAATTAGAAAAAATTTATTTCATTTCTAATAACACTGGTCGACAAAATTTAGGTTTTTTTTTGCCACAAGAGTAAACGATGGTGATTCTTATAGGATTTTTGACGTAGATTACGAATCTGTAAATGAAATTGTCCCATCACGTCTCAATTTTGAGAAAAACGGGCTCAAAGTGTCAAAAAATCGCATTTTTGGCACTTTTTGAAGCACTATAAAAAAAGAACGCGACGTGATAAACGGCTCAAATATGGCTTAAATAAGAACTAGTACCCTCAACTTTAACCTCCAGAAGCAAAAAACCATGTACCAATAACTCAAAATTGTGGGCAACATTTTTTTTACCGCGTGCGCGTCCAGCAGATATTGTTCCCACGATAAAATGAAATAAATTGCTGAAAACGTCGTCAAAGACACAAGATCAATTTAAATTAACTTCAAATTGGTTACTCGGGGGTTTTCGGGGTCGCTGATTACGAATCTGATGTTAGTTTTTAAAAATCCAATATGGCGGATCCAATATGGCGGACGATTTTTGGAATAACTTAACATATTAGTCTGAAAATCGTTACGCGGGGGTTTTCGGGGTTGTTGATTACGAATCTGATGCTTAAAGATTTTATGGTTTTTTATTAAATTGAGTATATAAAAAGTTTTGAGATTGCAAATTATGAATTTGACTTAAAAATTTTTAAATACAAGATAGCGAATCGAATTTGGCGAGCGAATTTTTAAATAGTTCTTGATTTTCGCAGACTTTAGTAATTTTAGTAATTATTTTCATGCCTCCACGTCATTTATAAGAGGAAACAGTTTTTTTTAATAAAAAATGGTTACTAGGTTTAAAATAAATTTAATTAATTTTTGTTATATTGTCAAACAGATTTAATTAATACGGCGTGAAAATGAAAACAACAGAAAACATCAAGCTTCATTTTTAACGTCTACTTTTTTCGTCCACAAAAAATTAGAAACAAACTGACAGCGAGCTCATCAATTGAACTCCTTGAAAATGTAAAAGAAATAAAATTAAAATCCTTAATGGTGCAAAATAAACGAAACGTCACATTTTTATCTCAATAAAGTTTTTTTTATATTGGATTAGTAAAAAGAAGGTTCATGTAACTGCGTAAAAAAGAAAAAATTAAATTATTCATTAAATAACTCCTTTCAAAAAAATTTGTAGTAATTTAATAGTCAAGCCATGTTAGTTCCGCCATATTGGATTCTGAAAAACTAACATCGGATTCCTATTCAGCGACCCCGAAAACCCCCAAGTAACGATTTTCAGACTAATATGTTAAGTTAATCCAAAAATCGTCCGCCATATTGGATTTTTAAAAACTAACATCAGATTCGTAATCAGCGACCCCGAAAACCCCCAAGTAACGATTTTCAGACTAATATGTTAAGTTATTCCAAAAATCGTCTGCCATATTGGATCCGCCATATTGGATTTTTAAAAACTAACATCAGATTCGTAATCAGCGACCCCGAAAACCCCCGAGTAACGATTTTCAGACTAATATGTTAAGTTATTCCAAAAATCGTCCGCCATATTGGATCCGCCATATTGGATTTTTAAAAAATAACATCAGATTCGTAATCAGCGACCCCGAAAACCCCCGAGTAACCAGTTTGAAGTTAATTTAAATCGATCTTGTGTCTTTGACGACGTTTTCAGCAATTTATTTCATTTTATCGTGGGAACAATATCTGTTGGACGCGCACGCGGTAAAAAAATGTTGCCCACAATTTTGAGTTCTTGGTACATGGTTTTTTGCTTTTGGAGGTTAAAGTTGAGGGTACTAGCTCTTATTTAAGCCATATTTGAGCCGTTTATCACGTCGCGTTCTTTTTTTATAGTGCTTCAAAAAGTGCCAAAAATGCGATTTTTTGACACTTTGAGACAGTTTTTCTCAAAATTGAGACGTGATGGGACAATTTCATTTACAGATTCGTAATCTACGTCAAAAATCCTATAAGAATCACCATCGTTTAATCTTGTGGCAAAATTTTGTCGAACTGTGTAATTAATGTTAATAAGAACGAAATATTTAAAAAAATATAGACTTTTCGATTTTTGTTATAATGAAAATCGACTAAAACGATTTCTTTCTCTTTCTAGAGTCAATCCGAGGTCTGAATTAGGAAAATTGGAATTTTTTTTAACAGAAAATTTATTTTAAAATTTAATTTAAATAAATTTAAAATTTCAGTTTCTTTGCAAAATATGAATAAAATCAAGTTTTGTATATTTCTACAAGACGGTTTTCGGTTTGATAAAATAAAAAATTACTTGTATTTTTCAAGAAAAAAATTAGTTTAAAAGTAATATTCATTCTGTGGAAAATTAATTTTAAAATAAGTTTAAAAAATAAAAAGCGTTTATTTATTATAGATGTATGAAATTCAAATTTTTATAAAATGACATTAAAAAAAAATAATTACTACACTGGGAAAATCTCTCCTTTAAAATTCACTTTTGTCTATAAATTTATCATTTTTTTAAAAATTTGGAAAAATAAATTTGATTTCTATACTTTTATGTTTTATAAAATATTTTTTATTTATCAACAAAATGGGCGGTTTAAAATTTTTCACCAGTAGTGTAATTTAAAACAACTTTAAAGCATTTTGGTTAAGGAAAATATACATTTAGATTTTACCCTATTTTTCCCCTTTTTTCAAATAAAATTTCCCCTATTCCCCTTTTTTTAGCAACTTTTATTCTGAGAAGCCTGTGAAGCTTGAATCGTGATTTTTCAAATGGACCCTTAGCCTAATCATTTCCTTCAACCCTTAAAGCAGGGGGTGGTGAGTTTTTCTCCAGGAGTGCAACAACTTCAAAAAAGAAAGTATTTGACTTCTAGTGCATGAAAAATATGATTATGAAAATGAAAAATAGATTTTACACTAACTTGATGCTAAAAAATTTTCCCTACTCACTAAGTAACCATAAAAACAATCGAAAACAACTTTTTACCCACCCCTCAAAAACAACTAAAATAAAAAATCAAACACTGTAGGTGTTTTGAAGTTGTTGCACCCCTGGACAAAAACTCACCCCCTGCTTTAAGGGTTCAATGAAATAAATCGGCTTATAACTTATTTGAAAGATCACGATTCAAACTTTAGTTTCTGATAATAGAGAAGTTTTTATCACGTTAGGATTTTGACCTACGTTTTTTCAAAATGTGCTAAAAACGCTGTTTTTAGGGGTTTCAACCCTTTTTTTCTTAAAAACTTGACGTGATGAAGCATTTTGTAAACCGAATTCGTGTTCAGCGCAAAAATTCCCTTCGGAAACACCTAGTCGCAATTATTTTCCAGAAAAAGTTTCAATTTGCAGGCCTGTGTTTTCAATTTTTCATCTGACATTTTGAATTTTTGGAATTCTATTTGAAATTCGTAGAGAACCCCAAAATGATACAATATAGTAATACTTACAACGGTTTTCAACAAAAATTTTTCTTGTACATTCGTGACATGAAAACTTCCTTTTTATTTTCAGATAAGTTTTATAAGTTTAATAGGATTTTGCTGATTGGATTTTAATTTCATTTTTACAGCTGCAAAAAAAAAGGAACGATTCAAATCCAGGAAAATTGAAAATGATCTACAAAATACTGATGACGTTCCTCCAATAGAGTATGTACATAATGTACAATAATGTGTAATTTTACATTATATTCAATATAAACGTTAAAATTTTTCAGTCCTGAGATGGCTCCATATTTCGTAAGGATCGCATTTTTGAGAAAATAATTAAAAGAAAAAATTGTTTAGAATTCAAATATCTATAAAAGCGGTACAATAAAATAAATTTTATAAAATTTTATGTTAAACAACGTTTTCTTTTAATTTTATTTTAAGAATACGATCTTCATGAGATATATCCATCTTTTCCGCGGGATTTTTGATACACCGTATATACAAATTAACTGTAAGAAAAAAAAATTGGAACAGTTCACAAAAAATTCATTTGTTTTAACCAAAAATATAATTGTGAAGTCAAATTGTCCACATAAAATTAACCAATTTAAAAAAAATTTATCGTTTTTACAGAATTGCTCCTGATGAAGGAACTACAAATACTAAAGAAACTGAACAACCAAATTTATTAATCTTCGATAAAATAGAAGTAGATGATGATTCTAACTCAGATTCGAATTCGCTGATTAGTGAAACGGTAATGAAAATAAAAGCAAATAATATTTACGTAAAATACAATAATATATCTTCCTATATTACAAAAAGATCTCGTTGCTGCTGTTTCAAGAATCTATATTTTTAGGTTTGTTAGCATTTTTGCTCTGATGTTAACTTCAAACTCAACTAACCTTACTTAAAAAAACCATACTATTAATTTGTTTGCACGCAAAATAAATTAGAGCAACCTCACCGATAGTATTAGTTAGGGATGTTAAATAAAATGGTTCGCGATTCCTATTGTTTATTCTAGGAATTCTGAATGAAATTTGAAATAACAATTGTGGAGCAGTAATTTGCGAAGATAAAATTTTATATTTAAATAATACAGCAATGAAAATTCTTCTCTGTGCAAGGGTTAGAAAACTAAAACGGAAACATAATAATTTGTAATCTATTCCGCGTTCCACATAAGATATTTAAGAAAACGCTTTTGGACTTTTTCCAACTCTTGAGTGTATTTGCCAAAAAAAAGGATTCCAGACATTAAAGACATAATTTAATTTGGGAATATCAAAAAATATCCGGCCCATATGGCCCCCCCTATATATAATAATAATACAATTTAAACACGGACAAGGTCCAAACAAAAATTTTGGTAGATACAGCCCTATAGATCTAGCAAAAAAGATTCGCGAAATCACACCAGGTCCACTAAAAATTACTGCCAATGGGAAAAATAGTAACAAAATCGTTTGTCAAGACCGTGAAGATGCGAATCTAATTTTGGAATATTTCAATAAAAGTAATAATAACTTACGGTAACTTTATTTGTTTGTAAAATATTTCATTTGTTATAAACAGTAATGAATGAATTAATTAATATCTCAAAAACTTTAAAAGATCTCACACTGAAAATTACATATTTTGTAGGAAATTAGTCAAGCTTTCCATTGAGATAGTTAAATTTTTTTTAAAAAAATCCGATTTTGAGATATACGTAAAACATTTTGACCTTGAATTTTAAGGTCAAATATTATTTAAAAATAAAAAATGTTATCACCATCATGTAACCCGTAGCTTTAAAAATCAGAATATATGTTAACTTTTATGCTTTCTACTTATAAATATTGTACATTACAAAAATTTTTTTTCCAAAAGTCAAAAATTAAAAACGTAATTCAAAAACTATTTTATGAAATTCAATAATAATTGATTTTTAAACTTTCACCAACAATGACAACATTTTAGAAAAGTATGGATTAAATTCGAGAACTTTTAATTTTTTGTTCGGACATTTCAGGAATTTTGCCTCATATAGCCATTCATCCGTAAGAGAAATAATAATGTTATTATATATAATAAAATATAATATAATATACAAACATAACAAAAAATGTTATTATATTTCTGTTTTAAAAATAAATTTTTTTAATCTTGGCTGGAGTTTGATTTTTTGTATTTTTGAATATTGGGTGAACATTGGGCCAATATTGAAATTCTAGATTGGTCTCTACACTCCCAGACTTGGACCAATATTAATAAAAATAACGGGGCGCATGATTACCTCATAAAAATCATTAGCTAGAATTTTCATTTGTATATGAATTTCATTTGATATAATTTCTATTCAGACGAATTTTCATTTTTTGAATTAGTATTTGAATTACTTTCTTTGTAAACGAAATGTTATTTAACATAGTTTTTAGGCACCGAATTTTAAATTAATATAATTTTTATTTTACCAAATTTTTTGTTATACAACTTTTTATTTTATAGAATTTAAACCAATTTTAATTTATCAAAATTCTCATTCAGTAGAATTTTAGTGATTCGAATTGTATAATGTCAGAATTTTTAAACTATCGAATCTCCACGTGTCAGAATGTTTATTTGATAGAATCCCTAAAACAGAGAATTTCCATTTGATAGAAATTATAAATGGCCGAACAAGCAAGCGTCAGAAAGATTTCGGCGCTATTTTTAAAATAAACCAATCACAATTTTCTTAATAATTTCTGATTGGTCTATTTTAAAAACTGCGCCGAAATCTTTTTGACGTTTGTTTGTTCGGCCATTTGTAATTTCTATCAAATAACAATTCGTGTAAATAAAAATTCTGACATTAAACAATTCGAAAAACTAAAATTCTGTTAAATAAGAATTCTGATAAATTAAAATTGAGTAAAATTATAATACGTTTAAATAAAAGGTGGATAACAAAAAATTTGGTAAAATAAAAATTATATTAATTTAAAATTCGTTACCTAAAAACTATGTTAAATAACATTTCGTTTACAAAGAAAGTAATTCAAATACTAATTCGTAAAATGAAAATTCGTCTAAATAGAAATTCTATCAAATGAAATTCATATACAAATAAAAATTCTAGCTAATGATTTTTAATGAGATAATCATCCGCCCCAAAATAACTGGTCCAATATTTAGCCAATATTCAGTCTTGGCAATTTCCCACTGGATTAAGTCTCCTTATACTTCGTTCCTTAAAGAAAAGGTGAATTTGTAGAAAACAATGATAATTTTTGACCAATTTGTACATGAATCGAATGGAAGGTGTCAATGTATATTTTCTTTATCTTTATTGCAAACATTTTTTAAAAATTCCTAATTTTTCAGAATGACAGTGATTTAGAGATAACAGGCGTAACTAGAGATGTATCAATGACTCAGACTGATTGTATTGTTGTTAATAACGATGAAAATGAAATATCAATTGGAGCTGATCTCTCAAGAACTGATTCTATAGATAATGAAAACTATAAAACTGAAGTAAAAGTTTTGTGGAGATCACACAAACTTGTTCATTTAGAAATGGATATGGTATGTAAAAGATAATATACTTTTATTTTGAGTATTCTACGACTACACAGAAAAACTGTTGAGAAAAATGTTTATTTATTGAGGTTATTGTGTTATTAAACCACTCAATAGAATTTTCAAAAAATCAAAACATTTTTTTCCTTTAAATATAAATAAATTTAAAAAATTCACCTTTAACTTGAATTTGAAATTAAGAAAAATTGTGTAAATTAACCATATTTATTAACATAAGAAATTAGATATATTTCTTTTGGTTGCAGCACGAACCTTTTCAAAATGCATTTCAGCATTTTGAAAAATTAGAGAATGTGCCTATCGAGCGAATATTACTATTACGAAAAGATAAACCAATACGGCCAGAAGATACGCCTGCTTCTCTTGGAATATCTGTATTAGATATAATTGGTAAGATATATTTTACACTTATGTTTCTTGTCGAATTTTTCGTTTTTAAAATAATTTTTATTAATTATAAATAATTCATTTAAATTCAAAAAAAAAATTTTAAACATTTTAATATTTTTACCGAATCTTTATTTGTACGAATTTATATTTTATAGAATTTTTAAAACCCCAAATTTCCATTTCACTGTACAAATGTCCGACAAATACAATCGACAGAATGATTTTAGCGCGAATTTTAAAATTAACTAATCCGAAATTATTAAGAATATTGTGATTGGTTAATTTTGAAATTTTTTGAAATTTCGAACAAATGGAAATTCGGCGATTTAAAAATTCTATCAAATAACAATTTCGTGCAAATAAAAATTAGGACATGCAGAGAATTGGAAATTGTGGCATTTAAAAATTCAAATCATTAATAAACCAAGAAAATTTTCAATATTTAACATATTTAAAAATTAGTTTTTTTTGTAAATATATCCTTAAATGAAATTTAATGGACTGACCTAGTTGCAAAAAAAGAAATATTAATTTTTTTCATCAATGATGATCATTTTAGATGGTGGTGTTATTGACGTGGAGTTTGCTAACGAGCAAGGCAAAGGAAATAACGAGGAAAATGAAGATACGTGTAAAATAAAAATACAAATGTCACAAAAGGAATCCATAATGGTTAATTTACAAAAAAATCAACCATTTAAATGCATCATTCATCAATGTGCAACACAATTAAATGTTCCTGCTTCAAAAATTAAATTTTATTTTGATGGTGATTTAATTGATTTAAGTGATACGCCAGAGTCTTTAGATTTTGAAAATGAAGCATGTATTGATTTGAAACTATCAGCTTAGGTATTCTTTCAAAATTATAATTCATAAAAATTAATATGTACATTTTTTCGTTAATATCTTAATTCATTTTATTTTTAAAATTGTCTTATCTTATATATAAATGTTTCTTTTTTGCAAAAATAATAAATTATTTATTTTTTCATTTTTAATTAAAAGTTGTTAATTTTTGAAAAAAAAAATTAAAAATGGAAGCTGATTATCCCTACTAGAGCTCGTGTTTGGTAAGTCAATGTTATCAATTTAAACCTTTCCTTATTGTTTCATAAATTTAAAACCAGTGTCAAACCAATTCAAGAACTTTTTTTTGGGTGAATTTTTTTCAGAGAATACCTCGTATATACTAAATGACAATAATTAAATATGAAAATCTTTCAAGAAAATATTTATTTTGATATCACAGAATAAAATATTCAACATATATAAAAAGTAGTGAAATTTTATTAAAATAGAAATACAATCTGCACTTTTTTTGTCACGAAATTTATTTTCCTTTGCTTGTACCAGGCATTGATTCACGTTTTTTTTCATCTTGACTTTTTTGATAATTTTTAATAAAACTGTGAAAAGTTGAATCTTCCGCCATTTCTTTTTGCTCAACATGATCTTGAATTGTTTCCTCTTCTCCTTCATCATCACTTGACTCATTTCCAGGATGTTTTAAATATATATCAGAAACTTCCCTCCCAATATTAACTGTCGACACAAGTGGTACAGATTCCCCAATAACATTTTTCATTGCATTCTTAAGTTTCTCTTCCTTTTCCTCTGCAATCTTTTTTGCTTGATTCTTGTGTAATTTTTCCAGTTCAATTTTGTAGTTTCTTTAAAGAGACAACAAATATTTATTTTCATATCACACATACTAATCGTCGATTTAAAAAAAAAAAAACTTTTTCGCAGTGACGATAAAATATAAATTTTTGGTTTTTTATGAAGTTAATTAACATTAACTTACTAAATAAAATTAGTAACTCACGTTGTGTACTCTATTTCTGCTTCTTTAACTAGTTTAAGGAATTCATCAATTCCTGTTCCAACAATAGCAGACACACCACAACATCGTAAATTGCAATAAAATTCATCTAATGCAAGAGCCATACTGCGAGTTAAATTACTAATATAACTAGTTTGTGATTCTAATGCTTGCTCAAAGGCTTCAAAGTCCGTCATCCACTCTATTGCGTATGAGTTTGAAATAATGTCGATCTGCAAATTAATTATTTTTAGCACTAACGTAATATAATCCTAACTATTAATATACTTTATAACACAGGCTTGCAATTTTCGATTTTCTTTATTTTTGATATCGAAGTGGTGTAAAATTCGACGATTTTCTGAGTTCATTACCCATAATATTAATGTAAAAATTTTATTTCCTTTAATAATATATACGTTGTACAAACCGGAAGTCAACTGTACAACTTCTGAAATGTGACAGTGTCACATTTTGGATCCTCCACCCATATATTAACGTTTTGGCATCTGTTTGTCTGTTTTTTGTCGTAAAAACCCTCCTACAGCACAAAATCAGGGTCCATCGGCCACAAAGCCTCCACCGTTTCACTTTAGCGTTCGTCCGTTAAGTAATTTATTGCTTGGAGAACTTATTTACAGAAATTAATTCATAAATAAATTCATAATAATTAACCCATAACATGGAAGCGAAATTAATTCTCAAATAATGTAATTATAAATTATTTTTTATACCTATTCAAATAACTTTTGATCTGAATTTAAAAAGCCACGAATCCCAAAATGTAGGCACTTTGCGCCTCCTTCTTTTCGTTACTTTTAACTACACATTTTTTTACTTATTAAACAGAAATTTTTTGTACTGTATTTATACATTTCGAAAATAGAAGATTTCGCAAAATATATTCCGTGTATTTAATAATTTTCAATAATTAATATTACTAAAGGAAATAAAATTTTTACAATAATATTATATGGGTAATAAACTCAGAAAATCGTTAAGTTTCACATATATTAAAACTAGATTTTTTTAAAAATATATCCACGGTGCGCCAGAAGGAGGTTTAAATAAAAATGAATTGGCACTTAAAAATTCTTTTTGATTATGGTTCTAAGATGAATAAAAAAACTTTTCTCAATAGGTTTTAAAATCAGCTTACGTGCCCAATTTAAAACAAATTGAGTTTTAAATATTTAAAAATAGTGTTTTATGAGGAACCAGAATTTATTTAATGTATACTTATATGCGTATAGATAATAGATGTTTTAGATTTGGGTTCATATAAATTTATTAACAATGAAGTTATTTTCTTGTTTCGTTTTTATATTTATGCATTAAGAGTGTCGAACGGTATCTGAAATTCTTTGGCAAGAAGAGAGCTTTAATTATCGCTCTGAACGTGAAATAGTATTGATTTTAAAATACTTTTTTCTCGAAACACGAACACTTTTAACAAAATCAGCCAAAATCCTCATCTTATAAATTTCCTAAATCCAAAAGACTGTACGAATCCATAGAAAAACATGATTGCAAAACAAAAAGTAGAAAAGTAATCTAATAACAGCTGCGACTTTGTGCGCCCTGCATGCTGCTGCCATCTGACGGCGGCAGGAGGTAATGAACCACTCATTATATTACTTTTCGTTTTGCAATCGTGTTTCTGTATGGATTCGTATAATCTTTAGGATTTAGGAAATTTATATAAGATAAGGATCTCTAGCTGCTTTTGTAAAAAGTGTCTGTCTTTCGAGAAGAGAGTATTTTAAAATCAATGTTTATCATTTTCACGTTTAGTGCCGTTTTTATAGAGCGATAATTAAAGGTCTCTTCTTGCCAAAAAATTTCAGAGGCCATTCGACTCTCTTAAATAAATTTTGTCCCTCTTAAAATAGTTCTTTTAACATTATAATTTAATTTTTTAAAATCGGATACAAACACTACAGCAATATAATTATTTATATGTAAAATTGAAAATAAGTAATTATTTTATCATTTATTACAGTATTTATTAGATTAAATAAATTCTGATTCCTCATAAAACACTGTTTTTATATAAAAACTCAATTTTACTTAAATCGGGCACGTAAACTGATTTTAAAAACTATTGAGAAATGTTTGTTATTCATCTAAGAATCATAATCAAAAAGAATTTTTAAGTGCCAATTCATTTTTATTTAAACCACCTTCTGGCGCACCGTGTATCCGCAACTACTTTCAGACGAAACTCAATTGACTAATAATAATATAAGAACAGAATTGACTCTTTTACCTTATTCATCACTACTACGAATGGCAATTTTGTTTTATAGAGTATCGAACATGCATAAAGCATATTTGACATAAATGTTACTGGTTTGTAACTTCTGACTGTATCCATTACATAGACAACGATAGTTGGAAAAGAGGATGCTAATAATTCTGTTATAATTGAACCACTGGCTGACCAAGTAAATACTTCAATTTGTCCAGGTGTATCTAAAATTACGTATTCATGTTCTTTTCCTGCATTGTCGATAAGTTTTACTACTTGATCAAATTTCGTTGAAAACAAATTTAATGCTGTCACTATGCCACCATTTGGACCCAAACAATATTGTTTCATTACTTCTTTATAATTAACAGTATCTCGAATATCTGAAAGTGGTTGGAAAGAATTTGAAATTTATTATTTATTACACTTTTTAACTAACACTTTACAGAGCAATTTGTGACAACTTTTTCAAGTTTATCGCACTCATTTTTAAAAATGAGTTCAACATTTAAAGAATAATACCGTAAACAAGGACTATTCTGGTTATTGCAATAAAATTCCTACAATAATAATTTTTTAGCAACATTTTAAAAATTATTTACAGTATATATAATTAAAAGTTTCCATACAGATTAATTCGAAGAAACAAAAAATTTATTTTATTTTATGAATAGAATAATAGCCCGAAGCCCAACGCGACTAAATAGTTTAAAATTTTTATTAAAGATAAAACAAAAGAAATTGCAATTTTCGTACCATAATAGCCCAGGTCGACGGTACTCTAAGGGGAGTCACCACCTTTATTTTGAGTTTTAAAAATTTTAATGATCTCAGAAAGTTATTTTTTTCTTGTGTTTCTCGAATGGATTTTCGATAGTTTAACTTCTTCATAAAATAAAACTTCCAAAATGGTCAAGAATTAAAATTTTATGTTTTTGACCATTCTGGATGTTTTCAGAACCCAAATGATGCAAGAAAAAAAAAAATAATTTCCTGCCATCATTAAACTTTAAAGGACTCAAAATAAAGGTGGTCACTCCCTTTAACTGAAATTATAGCATTGAATGTGAAGTAAAAATTTGTACCAATATTAACAGGATAAGGCACCTCCAAACAAGCTGGATCCAAGTTTATAACGTAAGGCTTATTTGTTTGAAACAGATCCGAAACCAATCTTTTAACAAAAGACGTCTTACCAGATCCAGCCATTCCCAAAACAATAATACAACAGGGCTTTTTTGATGGAGTTGTTTCCATATCTATGGTAGATTTTCCTATATTTTCCTCACTAATTTAATAACAAAATTTATTTTTAATAATTTTATGTTTCAGTTAACTTGCAAACTTTTCAGTTAGAATAAAACAATGCACAAATTCAGGGTTTTGAAAAACTCAAAACTCCGGACAAAAAAATTAAAAAACATTTTTAAATCGTTTAAGATTAAATTTTCAAAAATCTTATACGGCACTATTCTTTTGTCCACAAATTTGTTTATTTGAAAAACTCAAAATTCCCCAGTAAAAAAAATAATTGGGAGTAAGCGAAAAGAATTGGTGGTAACTTAAGCTGAATTCGGTTTGGCGAAAAAACCGAATTGGAATGTTACGATGAATTCTTTTCTCTTGAATTTGAATTAACGTTTGTTTATTCAAGTTTGTATTATAAACTAATATAATAAATGTTTCGAAGTGTAAAAAAGCCGATTTGGAATAAGAAATATATAATTTTTTTAAAAGAAATAATGGCGAAATGTGACAGATTCACTGACAATTTTACCATGTGAGTAGTACTCATATGGTAAATTTATCATATAAACACTACTCACTTGATAAAATTGTCGGTGAATCTGTCACATTTCGCCTTTATTTCTTTTAAAAAAATTATATATTTCTTATTCCAAATCGGCTTTTTTACACTTCGAAACATTTATTATATTAGTTTATAATACAAACTTGAATAAACAAACGTTAATTCAAATTCAAGAGAAAAGAATTCACGGTATGAAAAAAATAATTCACCGTAACATTCCAATTCGGTTTTTTCGCCAAACAGAATTTAGCTTAAGTTACCACCGATTCTTTTCGTTTACTCCCAATTCTTTTTTTTTTACTGGGTCAGAGAACCAAAAATTAAAAAACATTTTTAAATATTAAATAAATTATACTTATTGACATAGAAAATATGTTTTAATAAATTTTTTCAGTTCTGATAGTGTAGTAGAATTAAAAAAAACCTTTTTTCTTAATTGAATATTTTTAGATATGTAGCACAAATGTTTCTGTATAATTTAAATTAATTAGCGTATTTTGGGCAAAATAATATTTTTTAGAAATTTTTTTGTAACAATTGAAGCAAAATAAAATAATTGGGCACAATTGGTTGTTTTGGAAATTTTAATTTTAGATGGTTTAAAAATGTTTTTTTAATTTTCTATCCGGAATTTTGAATTTTTCAAAAAATAAATTTGTGAACAAACAATCATTTCAGCACAAGATTTTTTTTTGGAAAATTTTAATTTTATACAATTTAAAATTTTTAAAAAAATATTAAAAAATATAAATTTTATAACGTAAAAATTAAAAAAGTTGCTTTTTACTCCTTTCTAATTTACATTTTCATTAGCGATAAAATGTTTTCAAATCAACTGAAATGATTGAAATTTAAAAATTTTGAACGAAATGAAAAATTACCTCATTTTCTGGTTTTTAATTTTACCACATAGATATATGTAAATTTATATTCTTCGAGTGTCAAAGATTTCAAATTGTACACTGTAAAAAGTCAATTTCTTGTTAATTTTAAGCAAAAAAATTATCAAGTTAGTATATGATAAATATATTTGAACGCTCTCATGAAATTTTAAACACTTTGAGATCGAAAAGTCGCGTACTTACATAATTTCATAGTTAAAAATTTCGATAACAATTTATTTGTTCAACAGTAATTTAAAAAAGAGACGAAAATTATAGAGTCAATTAGTTCGATTAAAGTTATTGCTGACTAATTTTTAAAAATGATAATAATTAAAATAATGATTATTTTGAAGTGAAAAGAATTTAATTAAAAATTTAATTATTTATTGTAAAATATGAATTTAAAGCAAGTAAAAAAACTATGTAATTACGATTAAGTTTAGCTCGTGATTGAACGAAGGGTTTTTAAAAAAATTTAAAATTTGAATTTTTGGCAGAGTTTTTTATCACAAATTTTTCTAGATCATGTAAAATTGGTTGTAATCAATAGAAAAAAAATTCTTCGTTCAATCACTAGTCAATCACAATGTAGAAGAAGTGTGCCAAATTTCAGGAAAATCGGTGTATTAGTTTTTAGTAGTAAATAATAGTAGAAACAACTTCTATAAATATTTTTGAAAATAAATTATTTTACCAAAAGTTATAAACAATTAAACATTTTAGCACCATTTTTTATAAAATGAATTACTTAAAAACTGGTCGATGTAATTCGCTATAAATTGAAACACTTCTTCAAAAAATAACGTTCTTGAAATATCTAAAACTAATTTGCAATAATCATGTAATTTGTTTAAATTGTTAAGCGCTGTAAGAACATCACGCGCTAAACCGTAGGTGCTCGCGCTGCACTGCCACGCTAGGCACCTTGAACATGCCTCAACTTGATTATTGATTAATCTCGTTTAATAGTTAAAAACCTTTAAATCAGAAGTATATTATTTTTTGGGGTTTCATTCACGCACTGAACCGAAACGGAACCCTTATGGTTTCAAAATCCATTAAGAAGATTAATAAAAAACTGCCAACACAGACAGTAAATAATAAAAATTATTATAAATAATATAAGAGAATAACATGAATAAACAAATCTCAGTAAAAGCGACCTTATGACAATATTTTTTATTTAAAAAAACAGAAGGGCTAGAAAACGTTTATATTATTTGTATTGCAACAGAAAATATGTTTTTGAAGTAAAAAAATATTTAAGAAACATAAATGTTTGAAAGGTGTATCAAAAAATAATAGAATATTCTATGCGCATTGTTACTGCAAAAACAAAGGTTGTGCTTCTTATAACTTCAGCATATTTGCAGCGGTAAAAGAAGGAGAAGATATTGCCGGTAGACTGCTTTAACCAACTGAGCTACGTGTTTCCCACAGGACCATCAGTAATGGAACAATACCGACAGATAGAGAGATCATGTCTAAGAGCATGTTATAGGTCAGCCTCATCAAACTACAAAAAGAGAATCAACAATAGTATAATTTACAATCTTGCAAAAATACCCCGTTTCGACACTTTCATTATCAATTTAACAAGAAATTATTATGCCAAACTTTACACCATAGACAATAATACCTTAAATTCCTTTAAATGTGACAACATAAATAGAATGTTAAAATCTGGTTATATCACCCCTGAAACATTTTGCCATATTGATAAAATGGTAGTGATCCAAGACGAAAATAACATCCCTGTAATCTATCATGCACAACGACATCAAGCTAAAAAAGCTATTTACTTAGACCCGGTGAGATACTTCACTCAAAATCTCACATACTCCATTACCATCCCTGATATTGATCTCCACTCTACAACAAGATTAAACTATAACTACTGTTGGCTACAGGAAAATGCCAAACACATCGACGAAATAAGACGACGCATTAGAGAGTATGGAAGATAAAAGAGCCAGAGACATCTCATCAAATGAAGGTTGGACTAAAGTACCTTTTAGTAAAAACAGGAGAGAAATAAAGTCGACGGAAAAGAACAGTGAATAGCGATACTTATAAAGCGATACTTATAAAGCCCGTAGAGGGTAAAACCTACCGGGAAGTATTAAAAAATATCCGCGAAAATGTTAACCCAAAGGACACCAGTATTACTGGAAATGACATTTGAGTCTGATATTAAGGAAGAATTTACAAATTCCCTTTCAAGTGCAGTAGAAAACTCTGGAGTTGTACAGTGCAGAACCCCTAAGCTGATTCTGGAAATCATGGACCTAGACTCACAAACAACGGAAACAGAGGTTACCTCCTTGAAGATGATCGACATGGATCAGATCATTATCCTCTTTTGTTTGATCTCTATTTAACACCAACTAGTTTGAGGATTAATGGTTGCAGATATAATATATCTGACACTAACTGGGATGAATTCAACTCTTCTCTAGAGAATTTGATTGCTCCCATTGATTTAAAAGTGAATTCTTCTAGTTTTATCAAGGAAGCTTATCAAGAATTTCTTGCAGCTATCACTGCGTCCTTGGAAACTGAAGGTGCACTTAAGCCGGTTGCTAAATATGCTCCAAGTAAAGTACAACCAACCTGGTGGAATCAGTCCTGTAAAGATGCGATTCGAAGGCGTCGTGAGGCTCGCAAGCGTTTCCTTGGAGATCAGTCTGCAAATTTCTTGGCAGAATTCTGCAGAATTGATTCCGAAGTCAAAAATTTTCGGTTAACATTCCCTATGCGGATGATTCCGATAATGATAATAACATGAATGATCCATTCTCTGAAGAAGATCTAAATAGAGCTTTATCTCTCTGTGTCAAAGACACTGCTCCTGGAATGGACTATATATCTTATAAAATAATTAAAAAATTCTCATCAAATAATATTTCTTTCTTACTTAAACTATATAATTATATATATAAATATTCTGAGTTTCCGGATGAGTGGAGAAATACAAGAGTTATATTTGTCCCCAAACCGGAAGGAAAGGGCTCTCGCCCAATTTCCCTTACATCTAACTTATGTAAATTATTTGAGAGGCTTATTCATTTCCGTTTTGAACCACCCTTAAGGATTCTATTACCCAACTAGGCCCATGGTTGCATTCCAGAGGCATAGTAATATCGATCCCTAAATCTCAGTTGTGCTTTTTCTCACGTAAGACCTATAACCCTAATCAAATTTATCTAGCCGTTGATAATGAAACGATAACTTGTGCAAATAATGTTAAATATTTGGGTGTCATAATGGACTCAAAATTGAATTGGTCTTTACACATCAATCATATTGTTACACAAAGTGTTAAGGCTTTGAATATCCTTAAGGCCTTGGCTAAGATTTCGTGGGGTTCTTCCCCTATCACCATGTTAATGATAAATAGAGGGCTCATCAGGGCTTATCTTGAGTGGGGCGCAATCCTATTTGCGGGCTCCAGCAAAAAACAATTAGCCAGACTCGACAGGGTGCAGTTTGCGGCACTACGCATTGCTCTAGGTTGTATGTCATCAACCCCTAGATTTTTCTTACTTTCTGAATCAGCTGAACCCCCACTAGAACTAAGGCGCGAATATCTGTGCAATAGATTCATGATTAGAACCCTTGCATGGTCAGAGAACCCTATAGTTCCAAAACTAAAGTTGCTATCTATGCGTATAAACAGAATGAGGAAGCGGAAATTGTATGCATGTAGATCTGGCATACTTTCCACATACAAACGGATTGCCCCTCTATTAAATCTGGGCTCACTCCCCAGGAAACCACTATATTATGATTTTGATTGGAGTATACAATATTTTCAACCTAAATGTAACGTGACTTTCGGGTATTCTTTAAAACATAATATACAAAGAAATGAATTACTTCAGGATTTCCTTAGGGAAAACTACCCGGGTTCCATTCATATCTATACTGATGGCTCTGTCAGAGGCCAGGACAGTGCTGGTTCGGCTTATTAAGTATCGCAAACTGATTTCAGCTTTGGATTGCCTATGCCTGCCCTGGTAAGCCCATTAACTGCTGAGTTGCAAGCAATTAATTGTGCCCTTAAAAAGATCATTACTGAGGAGATTCCTCTGTCTGTTATCCTCACTGATTCCTTGGAGGCATTGAAATTGCTTGAGGGATTGATGAGGGGTAAACATAATTTTTCATCTCTGCCGTATAGCATATTATCATTGTTGAAGCACTTGTCCGATATTGGATCTTCCGTGGAGTTCTTATGGATCCCGGGACATGTTGGCCTCTTGGGGAACGACAGGGCCGACGGTCTTGCAAAGACTGCCTCTTCCCTGCCTTTCCCCAAGAAGGTTGAGATACCGACCTTTAGTTATATTCGTGACGATTTCTTATCATGGAGCAAAATCTCCTGGCCCTACAATCCTAATCCCACCTCCATTACATCCACCCCGGTTTTACTCTCCCATATAGAATTGGTCTGAAAAATCCTGTAGTTTAACTTGCCCAGTGCAGGTGGCGCCCTAGTCGCGTAGTGACGTCAGAGTGACGTGTCACCACGTGCCAGTCACACTTCCCATGCAACTGAAAAGTTGAACGGTCGTGTTTTTATTCTGGTTGTGAATTATATTTTGTTCGAGAATTTTTTCGACAAAATGAAAAACACTGTGTGTGTTGTGAGAAACTGTGGCACGAAGCAATTGTCGGGAGAAACTGCTGTTGGACACAGATTTCCGAATAATGTAAATATTGGAAATATGTGGGTGAAATGTGCGGGAAACGAGGAGCTGAATAACTTGACGTTTCAAGACATTGTGAAACTTCGTTTTTTCGTTTGTGCCAAACATTTTGAGAAAAAATGTGTTTTTTACACTGGAAAGGGTGTGAGAAAATTATTCCCAAATTCTGTGCCATCCTTGGATTTGCCACAAATTTCTCAGTCCGAGAAAATTAATGTCGAGGAAAACAATCCTGGGTCTGTGAACTCGCAAATTCTTGAACGGATGGAGCATTCGACGTTTGGAGAATTAAATTACTGGAGTGTTTTCTCTACTGAATTAGTAAGGATTAAAAATTTTAAATTATTATTAAATTTCATTATAATTAATTCTTTTATAATTTATTGTTTATTATATTTATTATGTTTTTTGTAAGTACTGAATCAATATTTTCGTATTTATTATTTATCCCGATAGTGGGTGGAATAGACAGTGTTTTTGTAATTTTAATTTAGATATATACTTTAAATTGCTTTAAAAGGAATGATACACTGTAAGATATTTTTATTGAACTATCCGTGCAAACTATCAAACTTCACTACACTGTAAGAAATTTTTATTGAAATTTGCATGTCATGTTTAAAACTTTTAACTAAAAAATGATATTTAATGCCAACATACATTTAATAAACATTAATTTCAATAAATTTTGGAAGATCATTTATACTCTCTTCAGAAAAATTTATGATGAGTTAAAATTTCTTATTAAATAATTATTTTTTAACATTCGAAAAGGTTATTGAAATGTTTTACAGTGTATATAATAACATAACATTCTTAAAAATTCTACGCAATTATATAATTATTATTATTCTATAAAAATATCAGACGCTTTTCAATTATTTATTTTAACGTTTATTTTAACGCGCGTGTATTCCACCCATCATATTGTATATATACAGTATATAAAAACACACAATTTTTATAGAATCAGGATGAAAACAACATTATTCCCAATTTACCATTGAGACCTGAGGACCAAAGCACTGAGGCTGGAAGTACTTCAGGATCTGAGTACCAAAGCACCGAAGGGGGTAGTACTTCAGGATCTGAGGGTCTGACTCCAGAACGCATCTCAATTCCACATTCTGAAGCAAACACTCCGGAAAGGATGGAATTAGAAGCTGATACCCTAACCGAAACTCCGAAAAGGGAGAATCTATGTCGCGATTATAATCGAACACCTTTTTTTCGAGCGATTTAAAGACACCGTTAGAAAAAAAATGTTCGAAGAAATGACCCGGCTTCGACATGAAATTCAAGTTCTTCGAAGAAAAAATAATAGGTATATATTAAATTCTTTAAAAAATTTTAAATTATTGTTAAATAAATATAATAGATATAAGAGAAATAAATTTAATTAAATAATCTCTTAAAATAATTTATTACAATTGTACATATAATAATTTATAATTTTAATAAAAATTTTATACTATGTAAATGTATTTATTTTTTTATGAATAGTAAATATTTGCAATTTGTTAGAAATAGGATTTTGAAACGAAAAAAAATTGACGGGTTGCGGTTTCAAAAACAATTTGAAAAAATGAATGCGGTCCAGCGGGAATTCGTTAGCATGCTGCAGAATAATTCCGGGAAAAACTGCAGGGGCCGGCGGTTTAATTCTACGGAGAAAATTTTATGTTTATCCGTTTATAAACAGTCTCCCAGATGTTATCGATATCTGAGAAGTTTTCTTCCCTTGCCTTCGAAAACAACTCTTCTATCGGTATTAAAAAAAATGCCCTTAGATACCGGAATAACTGGGGTAACGAAGCAATATTTGAAAGAAGCTGTTTCCGTTTGTAAAACCGAACAAGAAAAAGTTGGAATTTTAATGTGGGATGAAGTCCATCTTAGTCTGGGTTTGCAGTACGATGACAGCACGGACAAAATTGTGGGTTTCGAGGATTGGGGAACCGTTAGGACCGAAGAGTACGCGAATCAGGCTTTAGTTTTTATGTTACGATTAATTGAAACGGGTGATAAAATACCAATTTCTTTTAATTTTTGTAACACAACAAAAACTGCGCAATTGATAAGGTGCATAAAAGATGCACTAACGGCGATTAAAGAAGCGGGATTTACTGTAGCAGCAACGGTATGCGATCAGAGTAGCGCGAATCAAGCGGCAGTTAAAACATTGGTGAAGGACACAATAAAATTAAAAGGAGAAGATTATGTGTTAGCCAGTAAGTAGTTTTTTAAAAAGATTTTTGTTGATATATATATGGGACGTTCTTTGTCAACCGGACCACCCCATCTCTCCATAATTGGTTTAATTTAAAAAAATTTTATCATATTGGAAAAATTAGCTTGGAATGTCTACTTTTTAATCCCGTTGGGCGCTTTTTGAAATTCAAAATGGCGACTTAAATATGGCGCCTAAACGACATAAAAAACACAAAAAATCCACTAATATGATCTATATTATTGTTTAAAGCTTCACATATGACGATAAAAATAACCACAACATAGTTTACTTACAAACTGATAACGTATCTCCATTCAAAATTCAAAAATTCAAAATGGCGGATTAAATATGGCGGATAAAATTAAAAATTGAGCTAGACTCGTGAAAATTACTACTTCAGGGTTTTCGAGGTCGCTGATTACGAATCCGGTGTTAGTTTTCAAAAATTCAAAATGGCGGATCCAATATGGCGGACAAAAATTGAAAAATTGTTTAGATTCGACTGAAACTTCTTACTCGGGGGTTTTTGGGGTCGCTGATTACGAATCCGTTGTTAGTTTTCAAAAATTCAAAATGGCGGAAAAATTGAAAAATCGTGTAGATTCGATTGAAACTTGTTACACGGGGGTTTTTGGGGTCGCTGATGACGAATCCGGTGTTAGTTTTCAAAAATTCAAAATGGCGGATCCAATATGGCGGACAAAAAATTGAAAAATCGTGTAGATTCGATTGAAACTTGTTACACGGGGGTTTTTAGGGTCGCTGATTACGAATGCGGTATTCGTTTCCAAAAATTCAAATTGGCGGATCCAATATGATGGACAAAAATTAAAAAATCGTTTAGATTCGCCTGAAACTTGTTACTCGGGGGTTTTTGGGGTCGCTGATTACAAATCCGTTATTAGATTTTAAAAATTCAAAATGGCAGACTTAAAATAGTAGCCCAAAATTTAAATAATTAAGTTAAACCCGTAAAATTGTTTACTCGGGGGTTTTCGGGGCCACTGATTACGAATCTGCGGTTACTTTTTAAAAATTCTAAATGGCTGACCAAAAATCCAAGAAATTGAGCTAAACTCGTTAAAATGTCTACTTAAGGGTTTTTCAGGACAATCTTTACGAATTCATCGTTACTTTTTAAAAAATCAAAATGGTGAATATAAAATGGTGGTCCGAAATATAAAAAATTGATCTAACTTTTTTATATTGAACGTAAAAAGGTGCCATTTGAACTTATCAAATACAACGCCAGATAACTTTTTATGGAAATTACGTAAGGATTATTTAATTAATAATCACAAAACTAGCTTAATTTTTTAATCTATCCGCCATTTTGAATTTTAAATAGAGATTTGTCATCAACCATTTAAAAATTTTTTAAAACTGACATTGGATTTGCAATCAGCGACCAAAAAAACCCCTATGTAGACATTTTTACGAAATTAGCTCCATTTTTTCAATTTTTGTCCGCCATATTGGATCCGCCATTTTGAATTTTTGAAAACTAACACCGGATTCGTAATCAGCGACCTCGAAAACCCTGAAGTAGTAATTTTCACGAGTCTAGCTCAATTTTTAATTTTATCCGCCATATTTAATCCGCCATTTTGAATTTTTGAATTTTGAATGGAGATACGTTATCAGTTTGTAAGTAAACTATGTTGTGGTTATTTTTATCGTCATATGTGAAGCTTTAAACAATAATATAGATCATATTAGTGGATTTTTTGTGTTTTTTATGTCGTTTAGGCGCCATATTTAAGTCGCCATTTTGAATTTCAAAAAGCGCCCAACGGGATTAAAAAGTAGACATTCCAAGCTAATTTTTCCAATATGATAAAAGTTTTTTAAATTAAACCAATTATGGAGAGATGGGGTGGTCCGGTTGACAAAGAACGTCCCATATATATATTATTTTGCGACAGAAATTCTTACATTATAAGGGGGTACATTTTTTTTCAAGGATATGGAAATTGTTCCTCTTTTTGATATACCTCATGTCTTCAAATGCATCCGGAACAACCTTTTGGACAAGGATTTACAATTCGGCAAGGATCAATACGCAACCTGGGATCACGTCATAACAGCTTTCCTGATTGACACCTTCTCAGGAAATAATACTCGTTCGCTTCCCAAATTAACTGAGAAGCATGTGTATCCGGAAAGAATCGATAAAATGAATGTGAAAGTCTGTTCAAATGTCTTTAGCGGTACATTAGCGAATAAAATCAACGATTTGGCTGGAGGACCAGTAAAATCCACCGACGAAGGACCAAAAGGAATCCCTGCTGATGGGGTAAATACTGCGTTTGTTTTGGCCTTTTTTAATAAACTGTTTGATGCTTTGAATGGAAAAACAATTACAGATCGTAGTAGTAATTTTCGCACAATTTTAACAGATGACAGTTTTCATTTAAAATTTTTTGACGAAGCAATTGCCATTTTATCCAGAATGACATTTGTGAGTAAATCCTCTAGAAAAATAATTGATCAACCGCCGTCCTTAAATAATCTTATTAAAACTATTCAAGGCATCAAAGTATTGTGGAAAAATTTAAAACAGTTGGGTTTTACCTCTTTAAAAACAAGGCATCTAAATCAAGATCCCTTAGAAAATTTTTTTTCACAAGTTCGTGGTTTAAGTGCTAATCGAAAACCGAACTGTTTTCAATTTGTAGGCATATTCAAAACGTTATTGTTCAATACATTTAGTAATTATAAATCAACGCAATCAAATTGTGAAAACGACGAAAGCTTTCTGCTTACGTCGTTAGAAAAAATTCAAAATAATAATTTCAACACAATTCGAGAAAATGTATTTGTGCAAAAAATCGTTAGGAATAGAGTGTCTAATGAGGATGCTATTCCAGAAAAAGGACATATTTCTAACAATGCAGCGACTCTCATAAAAATTTTTAAGAAAAAAAATCCATTTTTCCTTACTTGTAAAAATTGTGCTACAATTATTAATAACTCAGTGATGTCTTCAACTTTTAAATATTTATTCAATGACACTAAAAGTATTTTGCGGAATATAATTACTAATATTTATGCTACAACTGGGGTTTCTCGGTCTTCATCGAAAATTTTAAAAAAATAAATAACAATTGAACATATAAGCTGTTTTTCTCATAGGGATGAGGTTATGAATCAATTTTTAAATCTTTTTAATAGTTATTATATAAAATGTATTACTGCATATTTAGATGCAATTTTACGTGGAAGTATGTCCATTGATCTGGAAAAGTATCCTCGAACTAATTTATTTGTTGTAAAGGCAAAAGCAAAATATGTTTCATCAATCAAAAGTAAATATCACACATATTCAACAATTTCAAAAAAATAAGATGATTCTTTATGGTTGTTGATTATTCAATTATTGATTTTTACTTCATGCAATTTAATATGACAAGATATGTTTAATAATTTATATATTTTGTTGGAGAATTTATAAAATAAGTGTGAACATGTGTGATATATTCGACTTTACAGAAAATGACTATTTCCAGTATTAAAATAATTATTAATAAATATAACTATATATGTCACTATAGAAGTGTCTGTTTGCTTGATTCATGTTTTTAATTATATTATTTATGCAAACTGTAAATTATGTGCTTTTGCTATTGCGGGTTATGTATGAGAGAATTTAGAAAATAGGCGCGAACAATGAGTGATATTCGGCTGTGCGTAAAATGACTGATTATTATAATTAGTTGTATGATTTGTAATAACATAAATAGTATGTTTAGATTCATTTTTGTAATTATATTAATTGTTTAATCTGTAAATTATGTGATTTTGCTATTGCGGGTTATGTATGAGAGAATTTAGAAAATAAGCGCGAACAATGAGTGATATTCGGCTGTGCGTAAAATGACTGATTATTATAATTAGTTATATGCTTTGTAATAACATAAATAGTATGTTTAGATTCATGTTTGTAATTATATTAATTGTTTAATCTGTAAATTGGGAGATTTTACTATTGTGGGTTATGTATTAGAGAATTTAGAAAATAAGTGCGAACATGAGTGATATTCGGCTGTATGTAAAATGACTGTTTTTAGTATTATAATATAGTATAGGTATATTATCATTTGTATAGGTTATATTTTAAATAAAGTTCCATGTTTTAAATTTAATTTCTGTGTCAACTTATTTTAAAAAATATATTATATTTTAGTATTAAAGAAAAATTATTCTAAAATTTACCAAAATATTTCTAATATTATAATTTAGTTTATTGTGATTTTTAAACCGTTTTTTTAAAGTGTAAATAATAAGAAAGTAAAACAATTTATAAATAAATAATAAATTAAATAATATCTATAATAAGAATAATACAATAATAAATAAATTCAAAATATTATTGATAAATGAATTAAGAATTATCATCATAATTATGTAAATAATATAAAATATTCTATACTACCGGATTTTATTATATGATTAGAACAAATTATTATTATTTATATTAATCTATTACTATTATAGAATGTAAAATAATAGTTATTATAATATATAATAACATAACCTTAATAGGCCTTATCATTTATCTATACATCACAAATAGGAATTTTTAATAATATTGTTAATAAAATTATATTATTTTAAGAAAAATTTAAAAATAAGTATATTTTGAATTTAAAAGATTTGAAATACATACATTTCAATACTTTGCAAATACTGTATACGTATACAGAGACTAACACATGTGCATGAGAATTTAGTTCAAGTTGCCCAGTGCAGGTGGCAGTGAATGCAGCCAAGAATTTTACATTAAGATAATCCGGGGTGATTACATCTAGAAGATACCTACATTTTGTTAATCCTAAGACTGCTCTGCCATGGTTCCACAGATTCAGTAATTTTAAAAGAAAAACAATTGCCTTAATTACTCGATTAAGGTCAGGTCACATATGCACCACTGATCATTTTGACAGAATGAAATGGACAATTCCTAGAGATTGCTGGTGCGGGGGTCCAGAAAGATCCTTTTACCATATTATTAATGAATGTAGCTTGTTTTCGAACGCTAGACCAAGGTTCTTCTCTCACATCAATTCTATCGCTCCTATCACAAGAGGCATTATTAGCTCTCTTGATGGATTGGTTTTTAATCCAACTGTTGAGAATATTAGGGAGATTGAACTTTTTTTCAACTCCCCTAACGTTAAAATCACTTTATAAATCAAACAGCAGTTAAAAACCATATTCAATATAGTGAAATTTTTTATTTATTGATTCACTTTAAGAAATTGACGGTAAAAAGGAAAAAGTCAAACACATTTAAAATATCCAAAGATGATATAATATATGTAATGTTATATATAAGGGATTACGTGTTGGTGAGAGAATATACAAGATTAAGTTTAAAATTTTCGCGCAATACATACACAATTTGTTCCTCCCTTCCCTGTCCCAGACTTGTGCGCTTTCCTTTAACCTGAAATGTAATATGTGGCCCTCTATACACTTCAAAGTCACTATGCTGCATACTTTGTAAGAGGTTACCAGAGTTGCGTATATTGATGCTTGGATTGCAACATAACGTGACTTTAACTCTCTGAACTCCTATGACGTCATAAACTCATACAACTATCTACAAACTATTTATTCAACGTTCGCTAGATCTGGCTAATTGCATTGAAAAAAGCCATAACCAACAGAAGAAGAAGAAGTTACCTCCGCAATAGAGAAGCAGATCACCGGAAGAATCAAAGGACTCACAGTAAAACTGACTAGACCAAACAAAAGGGAACTCGTCAAAGCGATAGTAGAGATAGATGAACGCGCAGCAAATGAACTGCTTAAAACTGCAAGTATAAAAATTGGCTGGGTAAACTGCCGCATAAGACGGAGAGTCACCGGTCACCCGATGTTACAGGTGCCTAGGATTCGGACATAGATCAATTGAATGTGAAGGGACTAATAGAAAAGATATGTGCTATAAATGAGGATGTAAAGAACATAAAGTAATAGAATGTACCCAAGATGCAAAATGCTTCCTTTGTGAAGAAAGAGGTGAACAAGACTTGTCACACATAGCGGGCTCTGGGAAATGCAAGTCATTTATCCTAGAATTTGAAAAAGCGAAACAGAAAGTAAAGTGCTGACAATAATACAAGGAAATATGCATCGAAGCAAAACCGCACGAGAAATTCTGGGACAACTAACACTGGAAAAAAATATAGACATAGTTATTATAAGCGAACAGTATAGGAATGAAAAATCCCTAAATTGGAATTCGGACCTATCAGAAACGGCAGCTATATGGATAAGAACTTTAGAGTTAAAGATTATGAAAATGGTTTCGTTTGGGTTAAAAACGGAAAAACAACTGTAATTAGCTGTTATTTCACCCCAAATGAACCCATAGCAAGTTTTGAAATGAAACTCACAGAATTGGAAGACACAATAAGAAATATAGGGGGTAATACTATCATAGCTGGGGACTTCAACGCTAAAGCAACTGCAGGGTGTCTAACAAGGATAGAGAAAAAAATTCCCTGACTTTTCCATGACATTTTTTTATTTTTCCCTGACTTTTTAATAACCTTATTTCTTCTTTCTTTGGACAAAAATATGGTTACTGACATATTTAACAATAAATTAATTTCTAATAGTAGTAACAAATGGTAATAAAAACCATTCAAGTTTTTTTAGATTAAAAATTTTTTAAATTCACAAAAAATTTTAATTTTTGTAGAAATTTACAGTTTCCCTGACTATAAATGAAATTTTTTGAAATTCCCTGACTTTTCCCTGACCAACAAAATTCCCTGACGTTTCCCTGACTTTCCCTGACCGTTAGACACCCTGAACTGTGTGGGGGTCAGAATTTAGAGATTCAAGAGGAAGACGTATGTCCGAAATGATCACAAGACTGAATTTAATCATCTTAAATAAAGATAAAATACCAACCTTCCAAAGAGCAGGAAACAGAGAAACAATCCCTGATATATCCCTTGCAACAGAGGATACAACGAGCAAGGTATCTGATTGGAAAGTGATAGAAGATTTTACTGGGAGTGACCATCAGTATATTGTTTTCAAAATCGGGGACTCAAAAGAAACAACAGCATATAAGCCGAAAAAAGTAGTAAAGTGGAACGTTGCGAAAGTAAACTCTGAGTGCCTTATCTCAGTTATCCAACTGGGATCATATGCAATAAAGAGAGAAATAGAGCGAAATGGTAGAGCAGAACGTATCGTGGAGTCTAGTATGAAATTGCTTAAGTCAGCCTGCAATTTGTCCATGCCAAAGAAAAAGCAGCGAATAAAAAAGGAAATGTACTGGTGGACCGAAGAAATTGCGGATCTTAGAAAGAAATGTCTGTACCAGCGAAGAAGGGCTCAGAGGGCAAAAAAGAAAGACCTGGATGCATTCTTGTACAAAACAACACAGTATAAGACAGCAAAAAAGACACTAGGAAAAGCTATTAAATCAAGTAAACGGTATTGCTGGGACAATCTTATACAGGAAGTTGATGCAAACCCATGGGATCTAGGTTATAAATTAGTAACAAATAAATTAGGGAAATTTAAAGGTGAAGAAGTTAAAAGTACGCAGGAAATGTCTTACATAGTGGACATGCTTTTCCCATCACGCGAAGAACAAAACAATGTCAGAGAGAATACTGTGAGCGAAGGAATCGAGTTTTTCACAAAGCTAGAACTCAAGAAAGCAATGGACACTATAAAAATGAAGAAAGCGCCTGGCCCATATGGGATTCCAATTGAGGTACTTAAAATGGTAGCTGAGAATTGTCCAGAATTCCTACTTAATATGTTCAACAGCTGTTTAGGAAAAGGTATTTTCCCCAAAAGATGGGAAAAACAACGCTTCGTTCTTATAAGTAAAGAAAAAGGAAATCTATTTGATCCATCAGCCTATAGACCACTCTGTATGCTGGACACAGCAGGTAAGCTACTAGAGAAATTAATTAAGTCCCGACTGCATGAAGCAATTAAATCAGCAGGAGACCTTTCGTGTCGCCAATATGGTTTTCGAAAAGGACTATCGACAATAGATGCAGTGAAGGAGTGGTGACACTAGCAAATAGAACCAGACAAGGAAACCATTACTCCAGACCTATAGCTCTACGAGTCACACTTGATGTTAAAAATGCCTTTAACTCTGCCAACTGGTCTGATATACTAAAGGCCCTTAGAGAAGATTTTTATGTACCTGAGTATCTTATGAGAATAATCCAGGACTATCTAAGTGAGAGGGAACTTATTTACGATACTCTTGAAGGGGCTCAAAAAAGAAAGCTAAACGCGGGAGCAGCACAAGGATCCGTCCTAGGCCCCGACCTTTGAAACGCATCCTATGACAGCATCCTTAGAATTGAACTCCCCCAAAATGCAATGTTTTTTGGATACGCGAATGACATAGCAGCACTGATCCTCGCAAAAGACTTAGAAAAAGCACAATTAACTTTAAATCTTGTCATGCGGCGAATAGAAATCTGGATGAAGAAGCATTCCCTAAGCTTGGCACTGCAGAAGACAGAGGTGACGATTCTGACAACCAGTCAAATAATTACACTTCTACCAATAACAGTCGGAACGGAGGTGATCCAAACCCAGAGCTCTACAAAGTATCTGGCTATTAATATAGATACTAAATTGAATTTTGCCGATCATATTAGAAGTGCGGCAAATAAAGCAACGACGGCTACGGCCAATCTATGTAGACTAATGCCTAATATCAACGGCCCAAAACCAAGCAAACGAAGGCTCTTACTGTCTGTCGCTCAGTGTATAATGTTGTATGGGTCAGAAATATTTGCAGATGAACTGAAAAAAGGAATTCGTAGAAAACCTATGGAAGATATTCAATCTGAAGGAGCCCAGAGGATAATAAGTTGTTACAAGACAGTTTCCGCCTAACTAAATTTTTGCTTCTTCTGAATGTTGATTTGAAATCAGTGACTTTAATAATATAAAAATTGGATATATAAAAAAATTAAAAATGGCGGATCTAAAATGGTGAATTTTTTCAAAAAATTGCTCGGATTTCTTTAAAACTTGCTACTCAAGGGTTTTTGGGGTCGTTGATTACAAATATAACGTTAATTTATAATATTTCAAAATGGCTGATCCAATATGGCAGGCAAAATAATTTTTAAATGAGTGAATCTGATGTTAGATTTAAAAAATTCAAAACGGCGTATCCAATACGGCTTACGATGGATTTGTTGTTAGATTTTTTTGGTACTAGTTACTTAGGTGTTTTTTGGAGGCGCTAATTTAACTAGAACCAAAAAAATTTGAAAACAATTCCATCGTAAGCCGTATTGGAACAGCGATTTCGAAATTTTATAAATTAACGTCATATTTGTAATCAACGACCCCAAAAACCCTTGAGTAGCAAGTTTCAAAGAAATCCGAGCAATTTTTTGAAAAAATTTACCATTTAGATCCGCCATTATTAATTTTTTTATATATCCAATTTTTATATTATTAAAGTCACTGATTTCAAATCAACATTCAGAAGAAGCAAAAATTTAGTTTTAAATATAGAAATTGAATAAATTCCCATAGAAATGAATTTCTCAAAAATCACCCTCCACCATGCCTGTAAAAAGAAAACATGAACTAACTTTTATGTTGGACTACGTTTTTCTTTTTAGATACACCTTAAGGAAGAAAATCTACCATATGACAGTCCTGGCAATTGAAATTTTTTTTTGTGTGTCTGTGTTATTTTATTCCTATTTTTATGAAAAAAAATGTATGAACTTCTACATAAAATAAATTTAACCTGTAAATAATAAATTCAATTGTTTCATTTAATTTTTAAACAATAAATTTATTTTTATAATGAAATGTACAAGAAAAAGATGTAAGAAATTAATCATATCTTTTATTGAGTGCATAAAAAGTAAATAAGTTTAACATGGAAAGAATAAATTCAATTGTTTAATATCATTTTTAAACAATATATTTATAATAATAATGAAATGTACAGGAAAATGTTGTAACAAATTAATCATCTTTTATTGAGTGCATCGGTCAGCGATTTTATCTATTCGGCGACTCGCTAGCGCGCAATCTTAAATCTTCAATATTTTTTAAACTAATGAATGAATTAGTTCGCCACTTTCCAGAAAACTTCATTATGTTCTTATACGTAAATGTTTCACTGGAAGTATTTTCAATTTTGAACATTCCCACAGACTTTTTGTCGCCAAAGGTAAGTATGTGTGTTTACCGACAAGTATTTGTTTATGATAAAAAATTGTTCAGAAATTAAACATTTTTAATATTTATTTTATGTTTTTGTCTTCAATGTATCCTAACGCGTGTGTATGCAAAATTCCAATCAAATTAATTAAGATTTGACAAAGATACGACGATTTATGTTTAAAAATTGTATGAAATTTGAAAATTAAAATTTATCAGTTTTTTTAAATTATTAATTAAACTATTCAATTGACAAGAAAAATCCAAAGGGAAAAAAGATGCGCCTCCTTATTTCCTACAAGGTATTAGTACATTTTAAAATTCAAAATTTCAAATTTTAATTTTATTTGCATTTTTGGGTGTTGACTGTCAACATAGCGGCTAGCCAAGCGCCCGGCGAGGCCGCTTAATTATATAGAAAGAAAATAAATTAAGTTCACAAAATGGACATATTATCATCCCAAAGCACTAAAAAATATGATAAAACTAAAAAAAAGCTAAATTTCTTAAAAAAATGACTGTATATACATATAAAATTATATTTTTAATGCAAAATCCAACATTCTGACCAAATTATCTTGAACCCCATTGCCTATAGAAACTCGACACCCCAAGCTTTTTTTCTCGCAATTTTCTACGCTACAACTTTGATATTTTAATCTTTTTGAGATTTTCAAGGAAAAAGTATTCATTTTTACATTCTCATCATATGAGAAGGTATTATGATTGGTCGAAAATTAACTTTTTCTAATTCCATAAAATCTTTACATTTTTGGGTACCCTGAGTCGGAAAATCATGGTTTGGCGATGGCGTCTGTCTGTAGGTCTGTGTGTAGACACAAATGTTGTAATCAGAATAACTTTTGTAAAATTCAATAAATCAACTAGTCGTTTGATATACATAAAATTATTTTTTAAATATATTAATGTTTTATAAATGAAAAAAGTTACGTATTTAAATGTGTTTCAGTTATTCCTTCCTTCATATAAATTCTAATTTTTTAAAATAAATTATTAGACTTCAAAAAGTTCCTAATAAATAAAAGCTCATTGTTCAGATCTGATTATAGTTTGGTGCTTGAACACCTAATAGAGCATTTTTGATCATTGTGCACCTTAGTTTTAAGTAAATAATAGATAAATAAATTTTCTTTTGTGTTAATCTTTGAGCACTAATTGAGCACTAAATAGGCTATTGATAAATATTTTCTTGACGATTTTAACGCGTTTTTCGTAACTGTTCGGCCAGCGGAACGTTCACTCAGCCAAACCAGTGTTTTTTAAACATTCAGCACTAAATTCGGTACAAAAATAGCACTAAATGAGCACTAATCAATGGCATATTGAAAATTCATTCTTATGAAACTGGTACAGCTGCAAATTAGCGACGTTTCGCTGATTCAAATTTAGAGAGTAGATATTTCAAGAATATTAATTTGTGAAGAAGTGTTTTTATTTTTAGCGAATTATATTGACTAGTTTTTAAGTAATTCAGTTTTTCAAAAATGGTGCTAAAATGTTTAATTGTTTAGAAGTTTTAATAAAATAATGTTTTTTCCAAAATATTTGTAGAAGTTATTTCTACTATTATTTACTACTAAATTAAAGAGTTCAGATGAAATTGGAAGAATACCCTTAGTAATTTCTTGATACACTTCAGAAAGCTTTACCCTTTTTGAAGTCGGTAGTCACGATTTCTCAAAAACTAATACATCGATTTTTCTGAAATTTGTCATACTTCTTCTACATAGTGATTAACTAGTGATTCAACGAAGAATTTTTTTCTGTTGATTACAACCAATTTTACAAGATCAAAAAGGTCCCAAAAATCGTAATTTGTGACAAAAAACTCTGCCAAAAATTCAAATTTCAATTTCTTCAAAAACCCTTCGTTCAATCACGAGCTATACTCATCTACTACTAGAAAATATTAGTTTTTTTATTTTTGTTGAAACAGCCATTAGAATCGTGACTACCGAAAAATCACTGATTTTGAAAGAGGTCTCAAAGAACCTGTTGCCATTGGCCTAATTTTTAATATTTATTCACAAAAATTTTATAACTTACTTATTTTATAGTGTACTTTAAGGTAACTAAGTGCTCAAATTTATTTATTATATGAAAAAAAAATTATAAAAAGACTTACATTTTTTAACCTTTTTGATCCATGTAACCTCTGAATCTTGCTTAGCGACAAATACGAATTGGACCTTGCCAAAAAAAAGTTAATTCATTTCAATTCATCGTAATTAGTTTTTTTACTTACTTTAAATTCATGTTGTACAATAAATAATTAAATTTTTAATAAAATTCTTTTCATTTCATGATTTTGACAATTTCAAAATCATTCCTGCAAAGTATTATAATTTTTAAAAATTAGTCAGCAACAACTTACGTCGACATATAATTACACTGTGCGACAGCCGAAAAACACTTTTTATTCGATCTACTAGAGGTTGTAGGTAACAGAAAACTAAGAAGAATGGTATATTAAAAATTTCCCTAACACCCCCAAATTTTAATTTTAGAGCCAAAAAACCATTTCATATATATTTATGACTAAAACCCTTGTAACTTTTTTAATTTTGCACCGATTTAAAAGTTTCTTTTTCGTTTTAAAGCTAAAAAGCAGGGCTTTTCTACCCACATAGAGTTTTTCTTTGTTAAAAAAAATATTTACAAGAGAAAAGTTACAAGAAAGTTCAGAAATTGTCAGTTTTTCCTTAATTTTTCAACTTTAACTGATGTTTACCGCATTAATTATGTTTTAAACATTTTTTTTCTTCATGTAATATTCAAGCGTAGTAAATGCTGCGTCGAACGAGCCCTATTTGAAAAGTTTTCTTTAAAAATTGACTGATTTATTGCAGTTTTTCTATTTCAAAAACCAGTAGCAAATTTAAGTATTTGAAGGTTTTCCTTAATTTTTTATTCTTAATTGTTTTATGTAAAGTGCTTCTGAAGTTATGACCATTTTTTTGTATCTTGGTCTTTCTAAGAATAAGTTTTTCTGTAAATATTAATTTTATTTTCCATATAAGAAAAACGTAGCTAGCCTCAAAAATGAAATTGCAACAAGAAATGTTTTTATTGATAACTAAAATTCAACTTAAATTTTTAATATTAATTACTAAATTAAAAAAATATCCGAAAATTCTAATTATTTTGAAATTAAAAGTGTTTATTCAGCCATTTTATTTTCATCTTCGAATCGTCCTCGTAACATTTAAGCGTCCAGCAATATTCGGAGATCATATTCACTGTACTTTTCCCTTAGAAGCGTTTTTTATTGTTTATATATTTCTTGATGAAATCTTTCACCTTGATCATCACTTACTTGACCAAGGTTTACGGGAAAGAAGACCAAATGGAAGTGCAAATAATGAATTTTTATAGATGTTGCAATTTCATTTTTGAGGCTAGCCACGTTTTTCTTATATGGAAAATGAAATTAATATTTACAGAAAAACTTATTCTTAGAAAGACCAAGATACAAAAAAATGGTCAAAACTTTAGAAGCACTTTACATAAAATAATTATATAATAAAATGCTTGGTCTGTCTTTCTGTCCTAACTTGAAGTTGGCCTTTTCTGATTTCACGTGTTTTTTTGAATAGTAATCTTATGACGTGTCAAATTTTGACAATTCTTTTTCTCATTTTTGCCAAAGTTGTATAATATTGTGTTTCCAAATTTCGGAATAAGTTTCTTTAAAATTCCAAATTCGAAAATTCAATTCACGAAGCTGAAGTACACAACGTTTACCAACGAATTTTTTTTTAAAGTTGTATATTGATTCAAAAATTGTATACAAATACAAAAAATTTATCATGAGAAAAAAGGTGCGCCAGGAAATTTCGTACAAGATAGTAATTTGAAAAAAATTTATTTTTAAGGTACCAGAGGCCAACGATTATTACCTATTAAATATTAATTATAAAAACACAGGCCTCGAATCAACTTAAAGACACAAAAAGTCGTTTTAGTCGATTTATATTCCAAAAAAAAGTAGATTTGTTTTTTATTTTAACAAAAATATTTTACAAATTTTTAAATAAAAATTTTTTTTTTTAATAATAATCCTTTTCGAAGGGTTAAAGTTGAAATTTTTAGAATTAATTAAATTTCAAAAGATATTGTTAATTTTCAAAAAATTATTAAATTTTACAGAACTAAAAATAATTTATCAAACAATTTTTGGAAAACATTTTTTAAATTTAATTGAATTTTTAAAGATTTAAAATTGAGATTTTTGAAATTAATTGAAACTTTAAGTGTTTTATAATTAAAATTTTAGATAATTTCACTAAAAATTTATTAGAAAATGCGGACAAAATACAATAATTTGAAAATCATTTTTAATTGAAAAATGGTTTCAGATAGTTGAATTTTCAAAGAATATTATTAAAATAGTTAAAAATAATTGAATTTCCTTAGAGTTATAATTGAAATTATTAAATATCAAAAAAAAAATTTTCGATGGAAAATATTAGAAATAATTAAATTTTAGATGCTTTTAAATTCAAATTATTGAAAATTCAATTAATTTTGAATTCAAATTTTTGAGAATAATGAAATTTTATTTGATTTTAAATTTGGAAAATAATTGAATTTCAGTTCATTTTGAATTGAAAATTTTGGGAAATAATTGAATTTTAATTGAAATTTTGGATAATAATTTAATTTATGTTTAATTTTTGATTGAAAATTTGGATAATTAATTTTGAATAGAAATTTTAGAAAATAATTGAATTTTATTTCATTTTAAATTGAAAACTTGGTAAATAATTAAATTTTAAATTGAAAATTTTGGATAATTATTGAATTTTAATTGATTTTGAATTAAAATTTCGGGTAATAATTGAATTTTAGTTTATTTTGAATTGAAATTTTTAAAAAATAATTCAATTTTATTGTGATATTTTTTTTTTAAATTATAAACAATTGTTAAATTTCATAAAAATTATAATTGAAAATATAATTTTGATATAATGGAATTTGTGATGTATTTCATTAAAATTATAAAAAATAATTAATTTAGTGAAGAATCATTTTAGTTCAAAATTTGTTAAATAATTGAATTGAAGAAGATCTGAAGAAGATCTACATTTTATACTAAAAAATGTATTTTATTTACATTTTTTTTCAAATGTAAAAAAAATGTCGCATTTTATTAAAATAAGTCGATAAAAGTCGTATTTTTGAAAAAAGTCAGAAAAAGTCGTATAATCCGAGGCCTGTAAACATATAATTTTTATTATCATTTAATATGTAATAATATTCTAATAAATTAAATTATTATTGATAATATTAATCTTTAATTTCTTTATAACAAACAATTAAATACTCAATTTGGCGCGCGTTTAATTTTGCTAATTAAGAATAAAAAAATTAAGGAAAATCTTCAAATACTTAAATTTGCTACTGGTTTTTGAAATAGAAAAACTGCAATAAATCAGTCAATTTTTAAAGAAAACTTTTCAAATAGGGCTCGTTCGACGCAGCATTTAGTACGCTTGAATATTACATGAAGAAAAAAAATGTTTAAAACATAATTAATGCGGTAAACATCAGTTAAAGTTGAAAAATTAAGGAAAAACTGACAATTTCTGAACTTTCTTGTAACTTTTCTCTTGTAAATATTTTTTTTAACAAAGAAAAACTCTATGTGGGCAGAAAAGCCCTGCTTTTTAGCTTCAAAAGGAAAAAAAAACTTTTAAATCGGTGCAAAAATAAAAAGTTACCAGGGTTTTAGTCATAAATATTCGTGAAAACGGTTTTTTGGCTCTAAAATTATAATTTGGAGGTGTTAGGGAAATTTTTAATATACCATTCTTCTTAGTTTTTTGTTACCTACATCTCTAGTAGGTTCGATAAAAAGTGTTTTTCTATTTTTTTTGTAACACATTGTAATGGATTGACCCTATAATTTTAGGTATTTTAGATAATTTTTGTTTAAACGAAACTATCTGTAATTTCTTATTATAAAAAAGCCGGCCGGATAAACTTTACAAAATCTGAAACAATTCTGCTAATATGAGTACGTCTGGTAACTCAACATCAATTAATTTTTAAGATAAAAAAACTCATATTATATTCAATTCAATATTTATATTTCACTCAAACTACATATAATAAAATCAAAAGATTAAAGAAAAAAATATTGAGGTTAAAATAACTCCGTGACAATTTATAAGGAACATTAAAATTGTAAAATTAAAACGATAGATAAAATTAATTAATTGGTGGAAAAAATATTTGTTAAACGAAAATTTATAAACAAATTTTAATTAAAAATCATTGACTAGTAACGTGTTGTTAAATTCATTTTCACAACAATTACGTATAATTTCATACGATTCTAAAAGTTTTTCGAAATGTCATTCGAAAATATATATTTACATGTAAGGTTCAAAATATACTGATTTGTTTTAAATGTTTACCAAGCAAATAAATATTTCAATGTTATTAACAGAATTCTTCAAACTTTTAAATTTTGTTGATTTCCATAGCTTTCTTGTTTATATGCACAGTTATACTACATGCATGAATCATACATGCGACAGATGGACAAACGCTGAGATCGTAATGGAGGTTCATGGAGGTTCTACAATAGGTGCAAAAGGCAAGTGCAAGTACACTCGTGATCAGATATGCCTACATATTTTTGTCCTTTTCTAACTTACGTGTTGCCATGACAACATGTGTAAGCATAAGGCCTGAGCAGAATAAAAACGTAATCGCAATCGTAATTGTAAGAATGGGTTAGAGAAGGATAGTCATATATTGTTGTTCTTGTCTTACTAATTCTTCCGTTTGCTATTATGATTCCGGTTACGTTTCTATTGTGCTTATGCTGATTCTACACTCACCTAAAACTGTGCGAGCGGTCCGTATTTGCGTTATGATTTATATATATATATATATATATATAGCTAAATATGGGAAGCGTCACGGAAAGCGGACTGCTCGCTCAGTTTTCGGTGAGTGTGGAATCAGCATTAGCCCTATATCTGTCCACGCACAAGTGACGCAATTCGCGTTTACCGCTGCTGTATAGACTCCACCCCACAATTTCCGCAAATTACTTTCGGACCATTTTTCTCGAAAAATAATGACTTTTGGTAAAAAATTCATAAAACATAAAATGTGTGTTTTTTTGAGATCTACAACTTTTGTCTAAAACTTTTTTCGAAATGTTTTGTTTTTTACGAGATAATCGCAAAAAATCATGATTTTATGGTGTTTTTTACGGTTTTTACCATGATAATCAAATTTGCGCCAATTTTCACTACGATTTTCGTAATCTACGCACCAAACTACGTAATAATACCTATGTTTTATTAAATTTAAAAGGGGGGACCTTTTCGGAAGTATATCCAAATTATTAAGGCGCCGTCCAATGACAGCGTAAAATTCTGAGGTAAAAGCGGAAAGCATAAGGACGAAATAAATAGTAAGATATGTTCATCTCTTTCGTTCTCATTCTTTCCGCTTTTACGTCGGCGTATAACGCTGTCATGGGACAGCGCCTTTATGCTAATTCTACACTTACCGAGTTCCTCCGCTTTTCCGTTACATTTTTTTTAGATATATAGATTAAATTATAGGAATAATTATAAATATAGGAAGCGTCACGGAAAAGCAGACCGCTCGTGCAGTTTTAGGTGAGTGTAGAATCAGCAATAGAACTGGGCCAACGCAGAATGAAATCTTTAATCGTAAATCATAAGCTAATATATGAGAGAGAAAAGGACGAAAGATATTTCTATCCTTTTCTCTCTCATGTAAAAGCTTAAGATTTACGATTAGAGATTTCATTCTGCTTAGGCCTCGTCAGAATCAATGAAATTAAACTACTTTTATAAACTACGAAAGCCCCTACGGTTCAGAGACCGTAGGGTCTCAGACGCTGGTGAACCGTAGGTGCTTCCGTAATAAACAGGTTGAGAATCTTTTCGTGCTCACTGACCGCTCATAGCGAGAATCTGGAAAACGCCTTTTAAAAAGTATAGAAAAAGTTATTGGAATTTATTTAAAAAGACTAAATTTATTATTATAAATAAATAAAAGTATTTAAGATACAATGAAATAATCATAAAATTAAATACAAACTTACTACCCCCACAGCACCGAAGCTTTCCTAAAGATTTTCTAAAGATTTATTTGAAATTTTCGGAATATTTAATTTAAAAGTTTAGTGAAAATTGTGTAAAGATTTAAATGTCCCTATGAAATAAATGTTTGGCGTAAAACTTGACTGAAGATTTCAATTAAAGCTTCGTAAATGTTCGTCGTAAAAGTTGAGTGAACATTTAAATTAAAGCTTCGTAAATGTTGGTCGCGAAAGTTGCCTGAACATTTCAATTAAAGCTTCGTGAAATGTTCGTCGTGAAAATTGACTAAACATTTAAATTAAAGTTTCGTGAAATGTTCGTCGTGAAAGTTGACGGAACATTTAAATTAAAGCTTCGTGAAATGTTCGTCGCGAAACTTGACTAATAATTTCAATTAAAGTTTCGTGAAATCTTTGTCGCAAAGGTTAATTAAACATTTATATAAATATTTGCTAAATGTTGAGCGGAAATTTCATTTGAATAAAAAAAATTCATATTAAATGGAATTGGGAACAAGTAAATTAAATAGTAATTAGTAATAAGGCGAAAACTCGGATAATCCGAATTGTTATTACAATTTAACATTATTATTGTTTAAACAATTATTATTTATTACAAGCGGGAAAATAATATTGTATATATTTTATAATAATTTAAACAATTTGAATTTATTAAAAATAAACTCATATTTATAAAAAACTAAAATTAAAAATAACTCGGATGAAGTAGATTAGACTCAGATAATACAAAATTTTCTACTGGGACATTTCCTACTGTACTTGCGATGAACTTTTAAATTTTCTTTGTTCTTTTCTTAATAATTATTAAAAAATTTAAGTATTCAAATTACACTTTGTTGATTTTTCTATTTTTGAAATTTAATAATTTTTTGTAGCGAAAAATTAAAAAATATGAGACTTTTGGAATATCTATTTATGGTCACAAAATACACGCACTCCAAAAGTCTCTCGTTCGTCTCTAAGCTAAATTTCAAAATAATAATTTGTACATTAAAAACTGTGTTTCCCGTGTTCAGTTTTAGAACTCTGAGTCTTCAAAAAAAAGAAAGAAAAACGAAAAATATTAACTAAAAGAATGCAAAACTTAATTTAAGTTTCACTTTGAATTTAAGCATCAACTCCAAAAAAGTAAAAACAAATTATAGACATTACAAAAATCTTCTTTGAAGTTTGAAATCTTAGCAGCATATAAAGAATGTTAAGATAATCTGTTCAATATTCTCGCCGAAAAGTTAAACCAACAACCAGAATTTTTTCACCATGGTATTCTTATGTATTTGATGAAATGCACACAAGAAAGAATGTTCAAGTGGATCCAAAAACAATGGATCGTGTATAAAGGAGACCATGCTTTAGTATTTGCTTTTCAATCAATTAACGACAATTTTACACAGTCAGGGTGTAACGATAGAGTATCGTAGTATAGTGGCGCGGCGAAAAGAGAGAAAGTAGACAGCGTAAGTAGTAGTGTCACTCTCTTCCTCCACCACTCGCTGTCACCTAGCTGCTAGTGATATACCTTTCGTCTCGCACCTTTTTCGTCAGTCTTCTTCCGACTCGTCTAGAGGTGCTTCTCTGACGATTGGAAGCGACGACTCACTCCTGGCTACCTGGTGCTCAGTAGAGGTGCGTCTCTGTGAACACCAGAGCCTTCCTCACTTCCTAGAAGGAGCTGTACTTGTTCCTGTAGGCGCTTCTGCGGAAGAGTAACACGCTTCGCCCTCCTTCTACCTGGTGAACCGGACTTCCTATGGGCGCTTCCGTGGAAGACTGGTGAACCAGATTACGCTCATCTACCAGGACCATCCTTGTCGAGTAGAGGCGCTCCTCTCTTGACAAAGATGATGCACTAGGTCGATTTCCCATCTCGAGGCGCTTCTCGGGTGGAGGGGACACCTAGTGAAGATTACTTTGCACTAGCTTCGCTTCGGGCATGAATATTGGACCGAATCCAATATCTAGCTTCTTCCCGATTAGGAATAATAATCGACCTAGCGTGCACGACCCTAGTATCCGTCCGTACCGTCGTCTAGGGGGTAAATTCTAGAAAGTACCTCACGCGAAAGTAATATGCGTCGTCCTGACCAACATCTTCGCGAACGTGGTAAATATGTTTAAATCTGTTTTATTCTGGATTAATGACAAGCGCGATCGGAGCTCAGCGAATGCTCCTCTAGAATAGCTAGTTCTTTCTTCGTTACGTTCTCTAGAGATTAGTATTTTATTTGCATTGTATAGATTCTTTCGTTCTTATATTATTTTATGTAATAATTCATATTTGTATATTTTATTATTCTTTTATTTAAACAATATATTCTCTTTCGAAGGTTTAAATAAAGTCTCGTCAATGACTACACCTCTCCTGTACATCATAGTAAGAAATAGTTCCGAAAATAATCGAAACATAGATGGCGCTTCACGCCATCTACCGAGATTTAAAGTAACTAGTCAAAATAGGTACCCGGACTCCATTCGGCGAGCAAATCCTTTGGCAAATAAAAGTCAGATCATTACAAGGGTGTATACAAACCGCAAAACCGGGAAATAGCCGGGAAATGAAATACCTAAAATGGTAAATTTAATTTAAAGTCCAAATTCATCAGGTTGTATTATGGACAATAAAACGGAGTTATTTTATAAACAAAATATTTTTAGTTTCTCTAAAATTTTGTTTTAAACTTTGTTCATTATGATTAGTATTAAATTATCAGTTATATATTAATATTAAAGGTATTATTTGCTTCATAATATATTTTAGTGGAACAAAACTTTAATATCTTAAACCGGGAAATAATCGGGATTTCAAAGACTGAAAAATATTAGCCACCCTGACAGTCTATGGCAGTAATATAAATTTAATGAACCAATAATTAGAATAGAAATAATAAAATTAGTCACTCAATGTATAATTTTGTTAGAAAAATTCGGTGCTCGGTTATATAGAGTCATGTGTGATGGATCTAAACCGAATAAAATGTTTTGGGCAAAAGCAAATTGTAGCGGAAAATAAAATAACACTAAAAACTCATTATTATACACCACACTTAATAGAAAATATTCGTATTCGGTTATTTAATAAAGGGGAATTGCAGGTATTTACGTACATAACGCTATTATTGCAATAATATTACTTTTACAATAAAAGTTTAAGAAAAAAATATTTTTTAACTTATAGAGAATTATATTTATATTTTTTAAGAGAGAATAAATAAAACAAGTTAAATTTAAATCAATTTATATATGGTAAATATTCAGTATGTACACGGATAATGTTGACACCTATTTCAATTAATCTTTCACAATTAAAGAAAATAATAGTACGTTAGTATATATGCAAGCTAAAATAATAATAATTATCAGTAAAATACACGGTAATTTACAAAATAAAAATGACGTTGACAATCAGACATTAAATGAGTTTACATTTGTACAAAATGCGATTAAATTAAAAAAATCAGACTATTAACAGTCATTTAGCTTGTATTTCATTCAAGTAATAAAAATGTACTTCATTTAATAATTACCTAAATTCGAAAAAGTATCGAAACACACGTGAATCAAAATAGTGTGAAAAATAAATATAAAATGACCGCAAAATAAATAATAAAATTACATCACAATATCTGCCATTTAATCATCGTCTGTACTCTTCTGATACACTGCTCCAAATTTGCTCATATACTTACGTACAAAATCTTTCGCTTTATGTTTAACATTATCATTACACTGCAACTCATCCACACTTTTACAATGCTTTAACTCTTTGGCCAGCACAAAATGTGTTAGCTGAAAATAAATATAAGAATAAATTATTAATTAAAATGGTTAATACTTTTTAAGTACAAAAAACATTAAAAACTAATAAGACAGTTACTCTTATAAAGGGTCAAAAGGCAAAGACGCCGAATGAACACTCTAGGTTGGATGTCTATAAAATGGGTTAAAAATGAGAGAGGAATTTAAATACAGAAACGATGGAAGTAATCAAGTAAGCTTCCAAGCATCGAAAACCAGTAACAGTGCTGCACTCAGTTTTTTAAGGTTTTTCAGATCCGTTTGGAAAGACTTGAAAGTAGAAGAGAAAGCGCTTCAAGCTTTCTCGTGTCAGCAGCGGAAGAAGTTTGATTCCGTCTGACCTACACAACGAGACAATTGAAGAAGAATGTGAGAAGTGTTTAAAGCTTAGGCAGGAGAATGCTGAGTATCTTCAGAGGATGGAAGAGGAGATCGAAAAGATGGTAATGTCTTACGAAGTACAGAAGAATGTTAACATGACTATTAAGGATGAACTTAAGACTCTTCAGGATGTTGTCAGTGAGTCGAAGACAAAGCATGTCCTAGCAGATAATGGAAATAGTAAACCTTGGTGGCGTTATAGGCAATGTGGAGATGATCCAAGAGCGAAACAGGAAAAGAGAGCGTATCCATGAGAATCGGCTTCAGCGCGCATTCATAGACGCAAACGAAGAAAACGCTCTGGCCGAGGTGAATAAGTAAAAGCAAGAGAAGGCACTTTTTGTCAAAAAGATTGCGAAAGTGACCGTAAAATTGAATCCTAAGCAAACTAATAAGAAGTAACCGACGAGTGGATCTACAATGGTGCTTCGAGTTGCAACAGGAACAACGTATGCCGACGTACTGAGCAAATTTCGGAGGGAAGTGAATCAGGACACACGTTAGCCACACGAAAGTTGTGGGCGCAAGGTCTATAAGAAGGGGAGATCTCCTGATCGAAATCGGAGGATAGTCCAATAGGGAGCTGATGTCACCAAAGTGGTTGGAAGCCACAGGAAGGTACAGACCGTGGACCAACAGGTCACACTGGAGGTCCACGACCTAAATTGTCTTACCCAGGAAAAAGAGGTCAATAGGCATTGGCAGAAGTGCTCCAGAACCCAAGAAGCAGGAAACTGACAATCCTAGGACCCATCCGAGGAGGCATGATGCTCACGGTTGTAGTCATCGACCTAGAGGAGGCGGTCAGGCTGGAGAAAGTGGAACACATAAGGATTAACTGCCCATTCAAAAGAAAAGTGGTGGTCGTTAGGTGCCCCAGTGCCTGGCGTACGGCCACATAGGAAGTGTTTGTAAGGCAGTGGACAGATCGATTATGTACTTCAAGTGCCGTAAAGTCGATCATAAGTTTGCAAATTGCAGTAGAAGCTCAAGTTACTTCTTATGTAGAGAAAAGTATGGCGATAAGGCAAATATTAGCCATATCGCACACGGAAAGAACTTTGGTTAAGCGGTTCTCTCTGCGCAGGTGGAGCCGCGCAACCTGCAGTCGGGTCGAGCGGTTCTCTGCTTGCGGTGGTGCTTGGGTGAAAAAGTCGACTCGCGCAACGAGTCAAACTATTCATATTAAAATTTAAAAATCTTATATTTATTCCAATGAATGTTAGTTTCTCGAATTTTTTAGTACAAAATAAAGTAAAAGAAGAACTTATTGCTTTATTTATTGACTCTATATTTAATAAAGTGAGACAATTTCATTGAAATTTAAATTAAATTATTTTTCTTTTATTTTTAAGTTTAAATTAAAAAATTCTTTGCTTTAAAACTGAATAAATTTATTATTTAATAAATTGATTTAAATTAAATTTTAAATTAGAATAATTTTAATAAATCAAACTTTAATATAAGAACTAAAAAATTGTTTTACAAATTTAAACATGAATTTATTGCAAAATTTTCTTTTTTTAAAAATTTAGTTATGACTATAATTAAAAATATAAACAATTTAAAAAATTATTTAGTTATTAAAATAAATCAACGTTTTTTATTAAAAGGTTACAAATAATATCGCGAGGAAATATAAAAAGTTTCATCTTTTTTGACAAACAAACACGGCTCCTTATTAGGCAGATCTTTTACATTTAATAATTTTTTACTCACTTTATTAAATATAGAGTCAATAAATAAAGCAATAAGTTCTTCTTTTACTTTATTTTGTACTAAAAAATTCGAGAAACTAACATTCATTGGAATAAATCTAAAGATTTTTAAATTTGAATATGAACAGTTTGACTTGTTTGGCTAGTCGACTTTTTCACCCAAAAAAGGGCGACTCAGTCGCCCCGCAAGCAGAGATTAGAGAACCGCTCGACCCGACTGCAGGTTGCGCGGCTCCACCTGTGCAGAGAGAACCGCTTAACCAAAGTTCTTTCCGTGCAGGCTGCGGAGGATGCGAAGTCTTGAGAAGTCCAAGAAGACTCTTGCATGAACGAAAAATAGATAGGCCAAAAAGATCGGTAACGGTAAGGGTCACGATAGTGAGTTCTCAGGGATCTTCAACTACGTTTAAAAGCTGACGGCAGTTCCGTAGTGTGCGAATTAATTCAGCAAAAGAGTATGGTTTTTAGTGGGTCGTCCATAACAAGAACGGTTATCCCCATATAACTTCGGAGCACCGGGGTCAGGATGGATTTACATGATGATGTAAATGCAGAATGCAAAACCGAAAATAAAGGGAGTGAAAAGGATAGGGATATATCACTATCCCTTTCACTCTCATTAGTTTCAGTTTTGCATTCTACACTTACATCAACATGTAATTCCATCCTCAGGTATTTGCCTTAGATATTAAGGATTATGCAGATTTTCCACATCCCTCGTAAAAAACCGGAAGAATGAGTTAGAGAAGGATAGTATATAAAGTTTATAGTATATAGATTATCATATTTCTTGGTTTTTTGTTCCAGGTTTTAAACTTAAAAAAAACGGTTCTCCCGTTTTGTCAATTAAGAAAATAGGCGATAGGTTTTTTTCTGTCTCTAGAATAGTGTTACCCCTCAATATGAAATCTCTTTATCCATCTTTTTGAAATTGTAATTTTATTCTTCTAATACTTGATCTCCACGTTGAGGATTAGAAAAAATTAGACAAAAATAGCGTCAAATTCTAAATTAAAAATGAAAATTTATCTACAAGAAAATTCTAATGAATTAATTTTTTTTGGGTTAATCGTGCGCTCCATACATGTACACTTTATAAAGTTGAAAATTAATTTAAGAAGGCAATCCTTTAAATTGATCTAAATAAAATTTTTATATTTTATGATGAGAATAGCTAAACTACCGAAACGTTAAAAAAATGTGTAATTTTTTTTGTCACTTAGAATAGATTGATATATTCCAACTATTTATTATAATTAAATTAATATTGATAGTAAGTAAAAAAATATTACCTTTCGAGCTAAATGTTTAAAGTCTTCGGTATTGGTGATTCTTCCTTGTTTACAGTCATTTTTTCTATACGGATTAAGAAAGTGGACCATCACATTGGCCATATTTATTCTAAAGGCATCCTTTATTTTGCGTTCTGCACTAAGTGAAGGATCATCTGCTACAGTTTGAAGTCGAATACTATGTCGTGTATGGGTCTTGGATTTATTGCTACGTCGATGTTTTCTAACTTTATCAATATGATCCTTCAGTCGAGCTCTTTCTTTCTGGCGTCGTATTTTTTCTTTCATTTCTTTATATTTCTTATTATATACACGATCATCTTCTCTTCGTGGCTATATTTAAAAAAAAGTTTGTGTTACAAGAGTGCTTAAAAAAGAGGGTTCGAGACTTTTTACCTAGATTAATTTTAACTTTTTCATAATTTGTGTGTTAAACAATTTAAAAATTTGTTGTATGTAATTTTTTTAATTCCAATAAAGTAGTTGTCCCAAATAAATGTTAAATGAAACTTCGGTTCAATGATAATAAAAGAAAGTAATTAAAACTTACACTGATGATCCTCTCCTGAACTAGTCCGTCTCTCTTCTTCTTCACTTCAACGCTATTTACTTCCGATTTTTTCGAAGGAGATTGTTTTGATTCTATTGAAGCGTCCTGTACGCTATCTACTTCCATATCCTCAGTAGAACGATCTGAACTCTTATTCTCTTCCTCAACGTCATCTTCTTCTTCATTGGAGGAGCTAGATTCCTCACTTGAATCAGAAGAGGTTGATGAGTCTGGTTGTACACCAATATGATCAGGAGGAGGTGGTAACCACTGCGATATTCTTTCTTTAACATGATAATAATACATTCTACCGCGTTCATCTTTTGCCCACTTCCACTTTGGAGGAAGATCTAAAGGAGGTGGTATATCAGGTTGTGACGGTGGTTTTGGTGTTTCAACTGCATGAGCAACTTGAAAAGAATTTTCAATTGATTTTTCAATGAACAAAGATTGACCTTGAACGGGAATGGATGAAGTACCGTTATGAATTTGCACTAGGTTGTTTGAAATTTGAAGGGGACTTTCCTGAAACTGTTGAGGAGGAATGGACAAAGGTGGAGGAAATTGTGTAGTCTGTTGACTGTAGGTTGGTGTTTGATTAATTGGATACATTGCAGCCTGCAAACTTGGTGAAATATCAACAGAAATTCCTGGTTGTAACACATGTAGAGGAGGTGTTACAATATTTTGATGCGAAGTACTGGTCATTTGGGATCCTCCAACGTAAACGGGAGTCATCTGTTGTTGCAATTCACTACCATCTGCATCAAAAAATATAAATTTGCTTCAAAAATTATGAATCTTTAGCGTCAGGTTTATAAAAAAGGAGTGAGTAGAAGAGAAATTTATTAATTAAAGAAAGTAAATTTAATTTTTAAAATAAATTGAAGTTTGAAATACCAACCTTGTATGGGATAAGGTTGCCACTGTCCCACTGCAGAATTGAAAAATAGTGGATAGCCAGTTTGAGGATCAAGAGCCGCAGTTGTATGTGGATCCATTCCTAATGCCAAGCATCGTGTTTCATGCTCCTTCCATAATTCCTGTTGTTGACGACGTTGTTTTTCTTCCTCTTCTTTAGCAACTTTTAGAGCAAAAAGTTGTCGACGTTCATATTTAGTCATTCGAGGCACAGGTATCAAATTAGAACGTTCGTCTAATCTTTTGTCTTTGGATCTGCTATATTCAAAATCCGGTGACTCTCGACCACGTCTTCTGTCCCGCTTATCAGTTTCGCTTCGATTATATCGATCAGAACGATATCTGGAATGTGATAAACGAAACTTTCTAGTTTACGTTTTGGATTTTTTTATTAGTAATTGAAGGAAATGAAAAATAGAAATTGAAGATAGAAACAATTAACTTTATTGTTGGAACCTACCTTTCATACGTCTCTCTTTTTTGCTCTTTTTCCAGTTCTTCTTTATATCCGCGATCTAAGAGTCAGAAAAAATATCAAACAATTAGGACTAAATGAAAAATTCTTACAAGAACATGTTGAGTGTATATTTTATTACTAAATAACATATCAAACCTGCTTCTCTCTCGTGTTCTTTCATTTGTTCGATCCTCTCTTTCTTTGGTATCCGGAAAACCTCCTTCAAATTAGACCAATCTGCTATAAGATTTGTAGCAAGTTCAGTAATAAGTACTTGTTCCTTTTCCTGTTTTAAGTTATTCGCTTGTTCATTTCCTCCTTCTTTTTCATCTTTGACGTTAGTCAAGTCATTTGATTTATTTGGACTATCAGAATCTACTTCTTCTTTTACTTTTGTTTGCTCATCCTCTGGCGATTCTCCACTTGGTGATGAAAACGATTGTTTTGCCCATTTTTCAACAACACTATAAACTTTACTATCCATGAGCATTGTCTTATTTGGAATTGGCAGTGTAGTTAATGTTTTTAAAACTTCTAATCTAAATTGTTGAACTTGTTCAGTTTCTGTTGTGGCAACATCCATCATGTAGCTCCATATTAAACGCAAACCATGATAATCGAGAAATAATCTACGACAAGGTTGCTCTCCATTTTGTATAACACGCAAAAGACGTGTTCTGTGCTCCAATTCCCTACTGCGAACCATTAAACGACTTAAATTTAAAGTATGATTTCTATTCTTTAATCCACCCGAACAAAGTTTATCTATTTCCTCTTCCAACTGTAACAAATAATAGATTCGTCTCTGTCAAAAAATTGGAAGTCACAACTGTTTACATATAAATAGAGAATGACGCAATTCTTCAAAATTTCCTTTACATCATTACATTTTTAAAAATTTTAAAGAATTTGCGTCATTAGAGAATTTATTTTCTTCATCTGAATTTTTTTCCAGACAAAATTTTTTATGGAGAAAAATGTGAGACTGAATTTTAAATTTTACTGTTCACATAATTCTTCTTAATAAATTAATAATACATACATCTTCATCCTCCATGAAATCAATAGGCTTCTTTTCTTCCTTCTTCTTTCTCGTAACATCCTTTTCGCGTTTTTCCTTCTTTTCTGTCTTTTCTTTTTCTTCTTCAGGAGTTTCTCCTATCCATCCCCGGCAGTTTAGAGCTTCACAGAAACATTTCTGTGCTTCTTTCCTGTTGTTGATGTAATAAATTTAGTTCAATTTTAATTCTATGATTTTAATTACATTAATATATGTATACAAACCCATAACGTTGAAAGTGGTAATCAAAAGTAATTTCTTCTCCATTTGCTATAAATTTTTTATTAAAAAATCCAATTCTCAGTTCTCCGTTTACAGTCCACTAAAATAAAAATTTTATTTATTAAAATAATAATATCCAAAGTAATAATTACCATCAGTCAAATTTTTACCTTCTGAGTTTCAGAATTCGGATCACAACTATGATTTATAAAACGAGATATATTTCCTTTCATAGTTGCATCAATAACTTGATCAGATTTTAAAGCCATAAAATAATGATGTCTATTTTTATCTTTTGAATATTCCTTGGTTCTTTTACGAAAATCTTTTGGATCAACAACTTCTCCCACATATTCCATTATGAATTCACCTCTGTAAATGGAAAATATTAAAAAAATTTTGTTAAACCAAAAAAATATCAAAGAGAACAAGAAACATACGCTTCAAGATCGGCGGTAGCGCGAAGACCAAATCCTTTCTTTTCAGTTCGAAAAACTTCACATTTCGCGTAATCGCAATTCTGAAATCTTTTATTTGTACATCTGCTTCCTACAACGCATCTAGATCCACTAAAATTGTTTAGAGTAAAAAATTAGAACATAAAAGAAATGAAAAAATTTTCATATTTATAATAAATAAAATCGATGACTAATAAATTTTATACAAACCATTCTATAAGAAGAAGCCTATTGAGACAATCTTCTCCGCAACCCAATTCACCTCGTTCAATTTCCTCCTCCGTTAAGAAGCAATCACACACCATTCTCTTGTGTTCTTTGTTTGTAAACCTATTACATAAATCGTTATACATTTTTATCGATAAAACAGAAAAAAAGTATAAAGGCAATAAAAAAACAAACCTTTCAGTAAGATAGAGATTCTCCTTGAGGTTTTCAAATTGACTTAATCTTTCTTCCATTTCTCTGTCTTTTACTTCCAAAACCATTGGTAAGGAAATCTTAGCACCTATAGTCTTTGGAATTTCTGTAGTTATAGGTGAAGTGGTGTTACTTCTAGTTTCGTAAGATTCAGAAGAACGTATGCTTTCAATATTAGATGGAGATACTATACCAGTATTTTCAACTTTTACAAGTGCATCAGTTGTCAATGTATCTTCATCAGTTTCAGTTTTGGCTTCATTTAACATTGAACCAGCACCAGAAATTACTCCTGAAGAAAATTTGAAGCTCGTATCGATTCGTGCTCCTGAAAATGAACTAGTACCACCCATTTCTAATTCACTTGATCTACGCCAACGCGATTTTACTTTAACAGGTTTTGAAGAATCCGAATCGTAACCTGAAGTCGTATTATTCGCAGACAGGTAAATTAGGGAGTCAATGGATGGCGTCATTTTACAATTACTATTTTCTTTGTCTGATTGAGTCTCTGAAAGATTATCTGAAATATCTTTTAACTCTGTAGTTACAGGAGAATTACTACTACTTGTTTTGTCCCGATCTTGTTGAAAAGCAGTTCTCGATGAATCCAAATTTGGCTTTGTTACTAAACCTCTTCCACGTGATCTGAACAAACAAATTTTTTAAATGAATTAGTTAAAACGTAAATAAAAGAAGAATTTTTGTAAAAGAAAATTTAAGTAAAGAACCGTACGGATTGCAAAGAGCTCTGCTGACAGTATAGGTAAAACAGGCGGCTTTAAAGAGGGGTAAGAGTTTACACTTTTGAAAAATAGTTTTTTTTGTCTTTTCTTATAGTTAAACATCTCAAGAATATAGTCCCAAGATTTGAAGTTAATTAGAGAAAAACTCTCGAAGTTATTGACTAATTTGTCCCCTCGCTTTTAACCCTTAAAGTACATACTTCAAAAACTTACGTTCGATACACACAAGGGCGATTGAATTTTTAAAGAAATATTTAAATCATTAAAAATAATTAAATTTTGGAAGAGTTAAACTTCAGACAATAATTAAATTTTACAGAATTGAAAATAATTTATCAAATAATTTTAGATTACCGTTTTTTTTAATAATTCAATTTTCAAAAATTTACAATTCAGATTTTTTATTTAAATTTTCGGTAATATTTGTGCCATATTGAAATTTTGTACATTCCGGCGTTAACCCTTTCAGTGTCACTGACGCCTATAGGCGTCACGAAAAAACTGGTCACCAGTGTCGCGTGACGCCTTTGACCATAATCTTATTTCTGCTTTATAGATTCGACTGAAATTGGTACATTGGAGATACTGGCATTTAAAAATTCGAATATATTAAAATAAATAAAATCTCAAAAATGTGTTTTTAATAATAAAACAATTACAGGCTTTACAGCATAAAATTTACTAAAAAAAGGGGAATAGGGGAAATTTTATTTGAAAAAAAGAGGAAAAATAGGGTAAAATCTAAATGTACATTTTCCTTAACCAAAATACTTTAAATAAAGTTGTTTTAAATTACACTACTGGTGAAAATTTTGAGACCACCCATTTTCTTGATGAATAAAAAACATCTTAAAACATAGAAAGTATAGAAACCAACATTTATATTCCAAATTTTTTAAAAGATGATAAATTTATAGTGAAAAGTGAGATTTAAAGGAGAGATTTTCCCAGTAAAGTAATTATTATTATTTTTACATTCTCATCATAATGAGAAGGTATTACATTTGGGCGATTTTGAGCATTTTCTAATTTTAGACAATCTCGACGTTTTGAGACTTTCTGATGCCGAAAAAATGGATCCTAAAAAAATGTCTGTCTGTATGTCTGTAGACAAAATTTGGTCCAACGATAACTCGAACAAATTTTAATGAATCGACTTCAAATTTGGTATACACTTTAAGTGTACCAAAATCTCGCCTGAGTTCGTTGCCCAGATGATTTCGTTGAAAAACAACAAAATTATTCAAATTTTTAGTTTTTAAAAATTTCCAAAATTCGCATTTTTCAGAAAAAAAATTTTTTCAATTTTTTTTCGAAAATTGCGAGTAAAAATAAACACTTTTTTCCTTTGACAATTGTCAATAGCGATTAAAACAAAAAAGTTATACCACAATTTCGTATTTTTTCGATTATTTACTTTTGAATTAGTTAAAATTCACTTATTTGTAGATTTGTAAATGTTTTTTTCTTTGACACTTTTCGATACAGATTAAAACAAAAAAGTTAAAAAAGTTATGTTCTATATCGATTAAGGTAACAAAAATTTTAAATTATTTTCGATGTGTAATTTTACTCATTAATTTTTTGCGGCCCAGTTTTAACCTATTTTGCCACCTTTTCTTTTAGCAACTTTCCTCTCTAGATTTAAAGTTTTTGAAGCAGTATTCCTAAAACATTTTTTCCACTATAACGAAAGCATTGTGAAGTGAAACAAAAATAATAAGTGTAGCAGGCAAAATTATAAAGAATTATAAATTAACTAAGTATAAACATTGCTATTTTTTAAGAGAAAATTCATTTTTCAACAATCTTTTTAACAAATTTAAATAAATCTTTCTATTCTTTGGTTTTTTAGGTCGCTCATTACGATTCTGAAGTCAGTTTTTGAAAATTCAAAATGGCGTATTGAAACATTTTTGACGCCATATTTTTAGCATTTAAAGGTATTCTGAAGGGATAAGATTTGAAAAAATTACAAAAACTGAACAAAAATTCTAAAAAAACATCTATAAGATGTTTTTGGTAATGAAAAGACGAAAGCAGAGAGTCAGTTCCTGACGAGTACAACAACAAAACAGACGCGAAATTTATACGAATTATTTTCAAATGAAATCTGCTTCAAAGTTTCATATTTATTTTATGTAATTTTAATGAAATAAACAACTGTTTTTAATTTAATGTGATTAGTGAATTCTTTTAACAAACTAACAAAAAAAAAGTAGACTCAGCCGCCTTTGCAAAAGAACCAAGATTATCCAGATTGTTAAGGTTGAACAAAATGGTCCTTCGAGCCGGATTTATATCAATTATTAAAAAAAAGTGAACCAGCAAACTATTGTGAAGTAAAGTTAAATTTGTGAAAAAAGTGAAGTTTAAGTCTGATCAAAAAAGAAGAAAAAAAAAATTGATTAGAAAATACAGACGTCAGGAACTCAACACGAAAAACCTCAAGAAACTTGAATCATCGGATACATCGTATGCACACGGAAAAAAAGAAAAAGTAACTTTTACTACTTTAAAAGTAAAATTGGACCTGTCCGAAGTTTCTGCGCATCTCTGGCAACTTTTACTCCAAAAATAGTAAAATTTACTTCAGAAATAGTAAAAATTACTACGGAAACAGTAAAATTTACTACAGAAATAGTCAATTTTACTATTTTTCGAGTAAAAGTTGCCAGAGATGCGCAGAAACTTCGGACAGGTCCAATTTTACTTTTAAAGTAGTAAAAGTTACTTTATTCGTTTTTCCATTTTTCTCCGTGCAGAGGTTACCAGGGAATACAAACAAATCAACACTGAATCATTGTTCGCCGAGCAAGTCGATTTCATAACAAAGGGTATTATCAAATTAATTAAGAATTGTCTTCAAGAAATTGTAAGTAGCGATAATTACGAAATTAAAATTTATTTGTCAAATCAATATTTCTAGAAAATTTTAAGAGAAATAATTTGAAGTAAAAACTTTTTTTATTAAATTCTCGTTTAAAATAAAAAATGGAAAAAACTGAAGCCGATCTAAAATTAACAAAAAAAAATTGTAGAACTAGATTGACAAAATTCAAATCATTTCTCGAAAAATATTCTAATTCTCAATCTCAAGAAGCAGTTTCGATCGAGGAGCTCGAAGAAAGAATTAAACGAGCAGAGGAATGTTGGTTGGAGTTTGATCAAGCTCAAAAATCGGTAGAATTAATCTATCCTCAGCAGAATTTTGATGAGGAAAGAAACGAATTTGAAGAATTTTATTATAGATATTTATCATTAGGGAAAAATTTTTTAAATAAAAGAACTCGTCAATTGGAGGCGTCTTTGGTTAATTATCAAAATTCAGACATTCAAGCTGCGCGAATTGCTCAGCTCGAATTAGAGCTTCAAACTCGTCGCGAATCAGAGTTGTCATCGTTGAGAGAGCTGGCATTGTCGCGAAATTCAAACAGTATAGAAACAAGTAGCATTCGTTTTCCGCTACCAAAGTTAGATCTTCCCATTTTTTCCGGTGGGTATAAAGAATGGTTGGGATTCAGGGACGCGTTTTCTGCAGTTATTAACGATAATGAAAGCATTCCAAAAATTCAAAAGTTACGGTATCTTCGATCCTATTTAAAAGATGAAGCTGCGCGTATTATTGACAACTTAGAAACTACTGAGAATAATTATGACGTCGCATGGAACTTATTAAAAGATAGATATGACAATCAGAGACTAATAACCCAAAATCACATGCAAGCATTATTTAATTTGCCCGCGGTAGAGGGGGAGTCTTCGGTTAATCTGAGAAACTTACTCGACAACGCTCTTAGACATGTTCGCGCCCTCACCGTTTTAAACCAGCCCACTGATAAGTGGGACACGCCCTTAATATTTCTAATAGTATCAAAACTCGATACAGAAACACGGAAGGAGTGGGAGAAGTCGATGTCAAATACTGAAATGCCGACCTTCGAGCAGTTAAGTAAATTCTTGCGTAGTAAATGCCAGGTCTTAGAAAAGATCAATTACAGCTCACATAAAATAAAGTCCGACCAACAATTCTCAAAAGCAAGCAAACAAACACCAACAAAAAGAAACCCACCATCAAAAACTTTTTTAAACACGCAGGTTTTAGGGCAATGCTGCATTTGTAATAATAATCATCAAGTGCATAATTGCATAGAATTTAAAAAAATGCAAGTCAACGAGCGTAGAGAAATTGTCAGAAAAAAGGGTTTATGTTTTAACTGTCTGCGAAATAATCATTTAGTAAGCGAATGTAAATCAGGAAGCTGCAATACATGTAAACGCCGTCACCATACGTCATTGCATTTAGAAACAAACACTACACAAGCAGGTGACAGTAAACAAGTAGAAAACTCGCAAACTGTAAACAATTTTCATATTCAAGATGCTTCGAGAGTATTATTATCTACTGCGAATATAACTGTATTTGACGAAGACGGGAACGCGCGTGCAGAGTCCTTCTTGACAACGGTTCCCAGCCCAATATAATATCACAAGATCTAGTCAATCAGTTGGGGTTAAAGAGAAAAAAATCGAATCTCGCGGTAGAAGTATTAAATAATATGCAAACTTCGTGCAGCGAATGAGTCAACATGAATATTAAATCGAATACATCAAACTATGCAACAAAGTTGAGTTTTCTAATTTTACCACAAATAACCGGAAATGTGCCCGCGGAGCCTATCGACAAAAATGAATTAGATATTCCAACGCATGTCAAATTGGCTGATCCACACTTTAATCAACCTCTCCAAGTGGAAGCGTTAATTGGAGCGGTAGTATTTTATGACTTATTGTTGGTGGGGAGAATAGCATTGAGTAAACCGGGAATGTCAATTCAAAACACAAGGCTGGGGTGGGTCGTTACTGGAAAGCTGGGGGGAACTTGGAGCCAAACCAAGGTCA